CAATGCATCCAGTCCTTTCCCAAAGGGTCCTATGTACTGTTCCGGGGGATACTTCCCTAAGTCATAGTAGTAATTCCTAATATGGAAACCCTACATTCTACTATATCGGTACATAGGACCCTGGGGGTTTATAAGCTCTTAGACATCCCAAGCCCCAGTCAGGCCTGTGTATTCGCACAGAACTGCTCGTACTTGGCATACTGGAGTGCTTCCTTTTGCTTCTCTTCCTGCTGGTGCAAGTGGGTGTCAGGTCTTCAAGAAAGGGCTTGCGCATGGTTTGGGTGACGAATACAAACCCCGGCCATCAAAACCGGAAAAGTACATCTTCATGCAAACCTCCCCGTACCATTGTCGGCCCCTAATCCGGAGAGCCGTCCTCGCCCCTCACTTTCATCGAAGCCAAAAGGTCAAGGACCTTTGTCACGGGGGTGACCCCTGCGCCTGAGGAGTTCTCAACCGGCGGGGTTTCTTGCGTTCCGTGCGTTTTTTTTTTCAAGCGGACAATGACATGCGCGTTCAAGGGGTTTCAGGTTTCCAGGGTTTTCGTGGGTTTCAGGTTCTTCGGGTTTCGTGGGTTCTTCGGGTTTCGTGGGTGTCTGGGTTTTGGTGGGTTTTAGGTCTTCAAGGGTTTCCGTGGAGGGTTCCGAAAGGATTTAATGATCGAAGCCCTTCTCCCGAATACCTCCTCCACTACAACCTCGCAGAGGAGGTGTTTTTTCTTGCTAGGCGGAATCCGTCGTTTCGGGTGCTTGCTTTTGCTTTTGTTCTTGCTCCTGCTGTTGCTCCTGCTCCTGATTCTGGATGCCCATTTGGGGTTTTCGAAAACAGGGGACACTAGTAGAGTACCCTAAATAGTAGGATCTTGATTACAAGGACCCCCAAATAAGGTACCCTTGTTTTCGGAAACTCCCATTTCGGAAAGCCAGTCAAGCGAGTTGGTTCGTGTGATGCCATGCCACAACTTATAGCAAAGAAGGGAAGGAGACAGGAGAAGCGAGAGAGACCAAGAAGCAGAACAAGCCTAGGAATAGAGGAAAAGAGAAGAAAGTGTGAAATGACCAGGAGGTTTTATGAGATGTATTTACATTTTGCTTCCTACCGTGCAGCATCTGACTGTCACTTCGAGCGCTATGCCACTTTGTGACAGTACCCATCTTGTCTGCCATATGCCAGGCGAGATGCCGATGGTGACGTCATTCTCGTCCGACCGTGCCAGGTGGGCGAGGGAGAGAAACGCCACCAACACGGGGAGCTTCATTGCCTTGGTCTTAGGGCAAGGTTTAGGGATCACGGTTCAGGGTCTTCGGGTTTGTGGATGTAGGATTTAAGGGTTTAGGGGTTTGGGGTTTGCCTGCTTGTCTTTCTAGGAGGCCGCGGCCTCCCATCGTACACCCCTTGGTCACGTGGGTGCAATTTAGTTGCTCGCAGAACACAGACCTCCGGTGATGGGAGGCTAATACAGCGGCCTTAATAATGAGAATAGGGTTTTGGGGTATACTAGAAGGGCTACTTAGAGGGTACAAGCATGTACCAAGCTTATACCCCGAATGCTACTACGACAGTTACCTATGCTGCAAAACTACTAGCTCCCCCAACCCCCGGCAGAACTGAGGACTCTAAGCCCTGAACCACCTGGCCCCAGACGCACCCTGTTCAGTATTTGGAATAATTTGGGAGTTTCCGAAAATAGGGGACCCTAACATAGTATCCTAAATAGTAGGATCCTTATTATAAGGACCCAAAAATGAGGTACACCTAATTCTCGGAACCCCTTAAACCCTAAACCCTCTATAGAACCCTTCTAGATCCCTTTAAGGAACCCCTAAAGGATCCTTTTAAAGGAACCCTGAATTTTCGGAAACTGCCATCTTTGGTCCGGCAAACCCTAAGGACGGACTGCCTGGACCCCTGAAGCCGAACTAGGGTCAGGGTTTAGGGTTTAGGGTTTAGGGTTTAGGGTTTAGGGTAATCTAACCACTGGTTTTGGGGTTCCCTTGGCTCTTTAGCTCCTAATTTAATAGGAAATTATCATGATCCCTGGCTCCTTAGCTCCCCCAATATCAATGGTTAGTAATTACCCAAAACCCCACTGTAATTATTAAGGCCCCTAAGAGTTCCTTGAATCCCGACTCAGGATCCCTCTTGGTAATATATATATATATATATATATATATACATTAGGTGTTTTTAGAACCCCCGTCCGCAAGTCCCCTCCTAAATCGTGTACAAACATTGTTTAATTGTTTGGGGTGGTTTGTCGATTGTTTCAATTCGTGCGACAATTGTTTCGGAAATTGTTCAATTCACGCGACATTGTTTAAACGATTGTGGCGATAATTTTTCTCTACTTTAAATTTGGTTTCTCTACTTTAAATCTGGTTTCTCTACTTTAAACTTTGGTTTCTCTACTTTAAACTTTGGTTTCTCTACTTTAAACTTTGGTTTCTCTACTTTGAACCTGGGCTTCTCTACTTTCACCTTAATGCCCTCATATTTATTTGGTGCTTTCTCCATTCAACCGGTGTTCTTTTTGCAACAATTGTAGCAATAATCAAACACATGTCGTAACAGTTGTTATGGCAGTCGATCAATGGTCGCAAAAGATTTTTCGACAAGCAAACAATTGTCGCGAGTCGCAACAATTGTTTTGACAGTCGAACAATTGTCGCAACAATTGCCGCAAGTTCCAAACAATTGCCGCAGCGTCTGGGTACACCAGTTTAGCACCGGGGGTTCTAAAAACACTTAATATATACACACACACACATATACATATATGTATATATGTATATACGCATTTGAACATCTATGCTGTTTCATGTAGAAGCAGAAGTGCTTACCACTACTACTCCTGCAGGTTGCTTAATATAGTTCTACTACAGCAAACCCCCCAAAACCAATTCGAATCACGAAGGCTCCTAGACTGCCAGGCCCAACATCCGGGCAAGCTGCCGTCTTGGGTTTTGGCTCGTCCTTGGGCCTGGGCACTGCCCTGACCCTGAAGCCAAAATGCTGCGGCGAGGATAGTGAAGGGCAGAGAGGATGGTGTGGGGTGTAGGGCTTGTGGGTTTCCTATGGTTTAATGAAGGAAGGCGTAAAATGTGGGGTTTGTAGCATGTCGGGTTTACTATAGTTAAGGGTGTAGGGAGTAAGGTTTATGCCTAATCGGGCTTAGAGGACTGTGTAAGCTGCAGGGTTTTTGGAAGTTCGGAAGTTCCGGATTAGTTTCATCGGTGTACCAAACCTAAACCTTTTTAGGATTTCGTGGCTGAAGGCGTATACGTGAAGAAAATGCTTCGAGATACAGATGTAAGGACTTGGGGATTACGGGCATGGGCATGGGGTTTGGCGTTTGGTCCACAGGTTCGGGTGAAGGCCGTCCTAGGTTGTGGTTCGGGGTTTAAGTAGGTCTAGGATCATAAAGTAGGGGCCTTAATGATTGATTAGAATGGGGTTTGGGGGGTCTATTAGAGTCTATTATACTATAGTAATTATAATAAGGGAACCCCATAATTGTGTCGTTAACTATATATTGTAGGCCCCTATATCAAGTTTTGGGCTTAGGGGACTCTCGGGTTTGGAGGTTTTTTCAGGAGCAGGGAACATGCTGCATTGCAAGCGCCGAGGGAGGCCTATATTCGTTTTAATTTCGGCCCAAATTCTAACACTAGCAACCAAATGTGTTACACGCCCAAATTACAGTCATGCCAGCACAAATATCACCAGAATTACAAGCAGGAGTCGTCGTCGCAGTCGTATCAGCTCCTGTAGCCTTTAGCAAACGCATCTTCAACTCATGCAAACCTCGGCAGTTCCATATCCCAAAGTCGGCCTAGTGGACTCACTAGGATGTAATACTCAGCACGCGGGGTTTGGGGTCATGATCAAGGTGTCTGCTGGAGGGTGGGCTTCAAGCTCTAAGCCGCGAGCAGCTCTTTTCGAGGTCTTAATCTGCACAGATCAGAAATACTTGATTTTTATTCATTGTCACGGACCCACACTACGGTACTTCACCCCTGTGAATATAATCCAGACTTTACCCAAGATAAGGTGGTCATGAGAAGGAGGAACTCTGGGTCCAAGGCTTCTGGGAACCTCGCAACTGCCAGAACACACGCATCGGGAACACAAGGTCTGCTGACTTCTAGCAAACTACTATAGAATGCTTGCTGGCAAGCTCCGACATATTTCCGTCATAACTGCCTAGACTGCATGCATGTGTATATAAAAATATACATATACGTACACGCGGATAGAAAAACGGATGAAACATCTGCATCATTCCAACATGCATGAAGGTGTACTAGGTAATTAACTGTCTAGTCAATTGAAACGGCTAACCTTGCTCTGCAGTGTGAACAACTAAGAACACACAATGGCATGAGCATGCATACTTGTGAACCTACATACACACACACATAAGTAAGCATAACTACACGCACACACACACACACACATATATATATATATACGTACATAGATACACATACGTTGGCGTACGTGTATAATATATACATACGTGCATACAGACATATACATACCATATGTGCTCTGACAAAACGCGGCACAAGCATGACAGAGCGTAGACCAGGTCACCATAGCATCACATGAGCTAACCGAGCGCAACACAAAAACACAGCACATCATGGCAAAGCATGACGGAGCATAGCATAACATAGCATAAAATTACGTTGAGTCACAACTCATAATACCACGCTACAACAAATCACACTACATTGCCTCTAACAATAAACACTGTTAACACCATCAGGAAATCAAAGTCAGTTTGTATAGATGAGCAAGTATGCATAGGTGACATATAGACACGCAGAAGTCTGCACGCTCACCCGAGTCACTCATACATTGTTCTTTATCCCCCTCTCTCTCTCTCGCTCTCTCTCTCTCTCTCTCGCTCTCGCTCTCTCTCTCTCTCTCTCTCGCGGCATGCTCCGCCTTCTTCTGTCGCAAGCCGTGCACCTAGAAATGTGCAGGCAAGCCACAATGTCACCGGATGCGGGCGTTGCCCTGCGCTGGCAGTCGCATCGTCCCAGCTAAAGCCCACGTGCGTGGTGTAAGTGTCCTCACGGGGTCGTCGTAAACAGCTTGCCTACAATGCTCGAAGATGTTTCAGCCCAAAGCCACTGAGACACAGTTTCCAGACTGCACTTGGACTTATAGTGGTGCTGGTGCTACTGCTGGTGCTAGTGTTACAGCGACATCTGATGCTACTGCTACCGCTACTGCGAATACTACTGCTGTCGCTACTGCTATTGCTGCTGCTGCTCAGAAAGCTCAGGGCCTCGGCATTGTTGCTGAAACAGGTGGTCCGAAGCCCAATGTTCAACACAGCCCTGCACCTTAAACTATGCGAAATCGCATAACCCTAACTAAACGGCAGCTCCTGAACCCAAAGTTTCAAAGCCCTAAACCCTAAACCCAAACCAAACCCCAAAGCCCTTGTTAAGGGATCATGGGACTTAGTAACTGGGGTTATAAGTAAGGTAATTATGCTTGTAACCACTTATAAGACCACTTAAGGTACTTGTAACCCGACTTACTAAGTCCCATGATCCTCCAAGTACAATCCTAAACTCTAAACCCTAAACCCTAACTAACCCTACAATCCTAAACTCTAAACCCTTCAGGAGACGTGGATGATCCTCCAAGTTGGTCCCGTCCTGATGCCATGGAATCAAGTTCAAGGATCCCGGCCTCGCGGAGCAGGGAAACTTCTTCATGTGGGGCTTTTAGGATATAGGGGTACTTCAGGCTTAGGGCTTAGGTTTAGGGTTTAGGAGTTTAGGAGTTTAGGGTTTATAGGGTTTAGGGTTTAGAGTTCCCAAAGGGTCCTAGGTACTGTTATGGGGGATACTTCCCTAAGTCAGAATAGTAATTCTTGAAATGGAAACCCTACATTCTACGATATCGGTATATAGGATCCTTTGGGGGGGGGGGGGGGTACTTCAGGCTTAGGGCTTACATATAGGGTTTAGTGTTTCGGGTTTGGGAGCTTATGACTTGTGGTTATTGGCTTTAGGGTCTAGGGTTTCATGAGGAGGCTTCATGAACAAACCACGCGGTTCTATGCAGTCCATAAGCTCTCCTGAAGTCCTTTAGGTAGAAACTATCGAAGAAAGTTCTTGCAGATACCTGAAGAGAAGGAGATCCAAATGTACAACATTCAGCATGTTCTGGGGATGCGTCTTAAAGCCTGAACATTCTTGAGCGACAGACGGGCAGAACCCACAGCGAACAGCCAAAGTTATTTTTGGATATAGTTCGATCCGGGATTCTGGGTCTAGTTATAAGCAGAAGATGTCAGGAAACATCAAGGGGTGCCACGAGCCGTGAAAGCTCCAAGTTTAAGGGGATCTTGCAGGCCACCCGGGTCTTAGATTCTGGAAATCCCACGCCGCGACACAAAGGCAAATCAAAGGAAACATATATGCAATCGCGAAGTCCTCACCTACTCCCGTTCCCCGCGAATGCCCTTTAATAGGGTCCCTGTGGTCCTGAATCGTGGGTACTTGGGGTATATAGCGGGTAGTTGGTTGGGGGGTCTAGGTACACCCTAAACCCTAAACCCTGGACCCTAAAACCCTACACCCTAAACCCCAGGAGGGTCTACGCTGTGCCTGGCCTTTTCTCGAAGAGCTCCAGGCGCATGGCCACAAAGTTCGGACCACAGAGCTGGGCCAGGAAGTCAAGAAGCCTGGTTTCCCTCAGGGTCCTAAGTACCCAAAGAATATCCTTAAGAATTCATTTACGGTGTTCATTGGGTTTAGGGATATTTAGGGTATTTCAGCCGATCCAAAGGCCTTTGCCCAGGACACCCAATACCCATCAATTTAGGAAGATTCCATAAACACAATCTACGGATCCCTCCATGAGTCAACGCACCCTCCATTGATAAAGGCTCTCTGACGAGGTTCGAGTTCAGTTTTCCGAACATGCTTGCTGTACGCACTCGCATTCCTAGTCCGATATCCCAAAGCCTGGGAACGCAGCATACCATAGGTCCCATAACCCCTAAACATCCCCAAACCCTAGAACCCTAAACCCTGAAATTCTCGCCCACGCTGCAGGGTTCGGACATCAGGGATGGGGGAGCCTTTGGAAGAGCGACAAGACGCAGCTGTTTGGCAGGGCCCGTAAAAGCTGCCCCACATACTGTTTGGAATAAGGTTTTGGGCCCCATTATACCATAAGGAATCATCCAAAACGCAATATTGGTAATTAATTGTTTAAGCCCCTACACTATAGTCTTCTCATGGTGGCGCCATGCACCTTTTCAGGTTGGCCCAGCCCTTGATCTTGGTCATACCAGACAGTGAGAGGTGTAAAGGCCCGGACGTGGGACTTCACCATGAGGTTGCCAAGAATTTTTTCAGTGCTCCACACTCGCGAATCTGAAAGCCAGGTCCGAACACTCAAGCGTCAATTTAAACCTCCTCCTCAAGCCGCAACTCTCTCAGCGCTATCGAACCCTGATAAAGATAAACACAAAAAAGCCCTAAACCCTAAAGCCTGATAAAAAGTCTTTCTGGAAACCACCTTGAGCCCAAGAGAACTCCTACAGACACCCGTTTTCAACCTCAAAGAACTAGGAAGCCTTGAAGAAGCCCTTACCTGAAGGACCAAATGACCCATAAAAGTAGGGGCCCTATACCCATATACTGTGAACCCCTATATGGTATATGAACCTTATACCCTTTTGGGGTACATTTCGTCCTTAAGGTACAGTATAGAACCCCTTAAAGAAACCCTGAAACCCTAAACCAAAAATACTGAAACCCTGAACCCCGAAACCCTAAAACCCTTCGACCCCGAAACGATCCCTTTCAGGAACCCGTATGGATACCTTTAAAGGAACCCCTGAACCCCGAAACCCTCAAAGAACCCGATAAAGAAACCCTATAAACCCTATAAACCCCAAACCTACCCGAAACCCTCAAAGAACCCTAGATACCTACCCCAAACCACAATAACCCTACAAACCCTAAATCCCAACCCCGACACCCTCAAAGAACCCCTTAAAGAAACCCTAAAAACCCTAAATAAACCTTATAAACCCTAAACCCTAAAAACCCTAAACCCTAGAAACCCTAAACCCTAAACCCTAAACCCTAAAATCCCTAAAAACCCTAAACTCTATAAACCCCAAACGCTCCAAGAACCCGAGCCTCTCGTCTCTCAGTGCTCGGAGGAAAGGCTCGGCGTCGGGGCTGGCCCAGTTCACGCCCAAGTCTACCTGCCAGTAGAGGCTTCAGGGTTCCTTTAAAGGGATCTATAGGGTTCCTTTAAAGGGATCTGTTGGGTTCCTTTAAAGGGATCTATTGGGTTCCTTTAAAGGGATCTATTGGGTTCCTTTAAAGGGATCTATGGGGTTCCTTTAAAGGGATCTATGGGGTTCCTTTAAAGGGATCTATTGGGTTCCTTTAAAAGGGATCTATGGGGTTCCTTTAAAGGGATCTATAGGGTTCCGTTAGAGGGATCTATGGGGTTCCTTTAAAGGGATCTATGGGGTTCCTTTAAAGGGATCTATGCGGTTCCTTTAAAGGGATCTATTGGGTTCCTTTAAAGGGATCTATGGGGTTCCTTTAAAGGGATCTGTTGGGTTCCTTCAAAGGGATCTATGGGGTTCCTTTAAAGGGATCTATTGGGTTCCTTTAAAGGGATCTATTGGGTTCCTTTAAAGGGATCTATGGGGTTCCTTTACAGGGATCTATTGGGTTCCTTTAAAGGGATCTATTGGGTTCCTTTAAAGGGATCTATGGGGTTCCTTTAAAGGGATCTATTGGGTTCCTTTAAAGGGATCTATGGGGTTCCTTTGAAGGGATCTATAGGGTTCCGTTAAAGGGATCTATGGGGTTCCTTTAAAGGGATCTATGGGGTTCCTTTAAAGGGATCTATTGGGTTCCTTTAAAGGGATCTATGGGGTTCCTTTAAAGGGATCTGTTGGGTTCCTTTAAAGGGATCTATGGGGTTCCTTTAAAGGGATCTATTGGGTTCCTTTAAAGCGATCTATGGGGTTCCTTTAACGGGATCTATTGGGTTCCTTTAAAGGATCTATAGGGATTAGGGTCTAGGGTTTAATTAGGGTTGAGGGTTGAGGACGTGGGATTTAGGGGGTTAGGGCTTTAGTGGTTCCAGTAGATCATTCGGGTTCCCTTAAAGGGATCTATTGGGTTCATTTAAAGGACGTGTAGGGTTGAGGGTTTAGGGGTTTAGGGTTTCGGGGTTTAGGGTTACCTGCCAGTTCTTCGGGGCTTTAGGAAATTTTGAAGGATGTAGGGGTTTAGGGCTTTAGTGGTTTAGGCCTCATACGGGGCCTTTAAGGGTTCCTAATATAAGGCTTTCTACTCCCTACACGGGTTCGCAAAAGGTCTTTGTTTAAGGATTCTTTGAAGGTTCTTCACGGGTTTTTTGAGGGTTGCTGTTGGGAGTCCTGGAGGCTGCGAAGTTCTCGGGTGGTTGGCCGGCTGTGCGGGAAGCCTCAGTTCGAGGTTGATTAATAGCCACCGAGTGCATAAGTTCAGTGGTCTTCTGGTGCATTCGTGACTTAGTGACTGGCTTTATACAAAAACTTAAGGGATACTCCTCAACATACTAGAACCTGAATCCTAAGATCAAACCCTCTCTAACTTAAGGACAGCCCCACATATTTCCTAAAGCATGTTATTGAGCCTTCTCTAACTTACAAATCTTAATTAATGTTAAGGCCTCAAAAGCAGAGCTCCGAAATTCTCACCGGACCGGGCCTCGCAGTCGTCGGCAAGAGGTGCTTTCATGCCTGGTATATGTAGAAACTTAATGCATGTGAAAGCAGTATTAGTGTCCGATGTTTACGTATGTATATGTAGGTATATATGAACATAGTACGTGCTGTATGTACATACCTGCATGCATACATACGTACATCCGCACATCAATCCGCAAGGAAGAATGTATGGAAGTCACTGAACGAACTAACCCTGAAACAAACACGGGCCTTCTGGGGTTTGTTTGTCGGCATACTCAACCCAAAGGGTCCTATGTACTGTTATGGGGGATACTTCCCTAAGTCATAATAGTGATTCCTAGTCTGGAAACCCTACATTCTACTACGTCGGTACATAGCACCCTTTGGGCAACTAAGAGAGTAAAACAGCCCACGCTGCGCTCGTCGAAGGCATCGCGCAGCTCCTCAAGGTGTGTGGGCCTGCCAACATTGTCGAACTGCCACTGTAGCACTTTCCTTAAACCAACACAGCCTATGTTTTTTGTTGCAGAAAAGTGCGAACTCCTGGGCAACCTATCGAAAGAAGTATGTCATGATAGTTTCGTTTAAGGCAGACCCTCCAGCGTAGTTCCTCTTTTCCAGGCCGCCTGGTCATACTGCGGGCGTTCTTACGCTGGGGTTTGCTATATCTTGGCCCATTATACCATACTTATAATAAGGATCCTCCACGAGAGTATGGGTAATTATTTAGGCCCCTGTAGTACGCCCATCCCCAAACTCTCAACCTTGTAAAATCTCTGATGAGAACGCGCTCGAAGCTAACAATGACAGTGCCGAGTCAAAAACATAACCCAAAACTCTGTCCACCAAACCAAACATGGGGTGGTACCAGCTTTGTAAGGATCCTTGACAGAGTGTGTGCAGTCTGAGTCAGTGCCTCAGAAAGCTGTCGAACATAAAGAAGCCGTCCTGGGTTGGAACTTTAAAGTACTCCAGGGGCCTAAATAATTACCAATAATATTCTGGGTGTTCCTTATTATATGTACAGTATAATGGGCCCCAAAACCCTGTTCTAATTGTTAAGGCGCCATATTGTAGTACCCTTATAGATCCCTTATGGTAGCCCTTACGGATCCCTTTAAAAGAACCCTAATATGAGGGGTCAAGGCACGTTGGGTGTAGTGGGGTTCAAGATGTCATGACCCATCTTCCCCTAAGGGTCCAAAGGACCCAATAAATAGGTACATTGATTTTGGATAGTAGTTATGTAGGTTACTATTTGGGAGAATATATGATCATTAGGTACCGGGACCCTTAGGGTTACACAGAAAGTTTCTGTCTGCGTTGTGCCTGGGCTTGGGAAAGGACAGAACTCACGGTCTTTGGGGCACTCTGAAAGGCCGGATGCAAAGGTGACTCGAGCTCTCACTATGCCAATGCATAAAAACCGATGCAACACTTCACTCTTATCACCTATATCGCTATCCTCAACCCAAACACGGTCATGACACATGGTCATCCCACGTAACATCCCCAACTCAGGTATCTAAAACCTAAGCTCTAAACCCTGAAACCTTCAACATTCTACCTCCAACCCCTAAAACCTTAGACCCTCAAATCTGACCGAAACACCAAAGGCCCAAGATCCGTCGTTTGCCCCTCCCCAGCACATACTGTTGATGATATAAATCCTGCATGACCCATAATAAGGAATATACCATAATTCCCATAGTTTAGGGTCCTTAATATAGTGCAGGATTTGTATCATCAACAGTAGTATACCATTTTGCTTCAAACCCCTACCTACACCAAGAACCCGAACCCTGCACCCCAAGCCCTCAAACCCTAAAACCCCAAACCCTCAACCCCAAAACGAAAGAACAGAAGACCCTACCAATGCCGTCCCTTTCCACACTCCGCTCTCCTGCTCAAAGGCCGCCATTGCTTCGGGGCCTCTCGCGTTTCGGAAACTCGCTACACCTCGAGCAAGTCCTATACGTTTGTATTCTTCCTACCCTAAACCACAGACCATAAACCGTATATATATATATATATATATAGATATAGAGAGAGACATATATAAATACATACACATACATATATGTGTATGTATATATAATATACTATGGAGAGCGGGAGCTATGTGTATATATATATATAAATACATATGTAGTGGTATTCATACCTGCATAGTCATATAGATACCTGTAGACACACCCACCGAATCATAGTCATTTTTATTGTACATTTACACATGCATATCATATAAGGGTTCTTCCAAGAAGTAAAGAATTATACGCTGTTGCTTGGCTGTCGCTTGGAAGGCCTTAGGTTCAGTGAACATTTCCTTGGTTGCCTTTTGAAAGGTATTCATGGTTATAGTATGACTGGTCCTTTTGCTGGCTCGCTGGCTCCTAGCTGCGGGTGATACTTTTATATTTATACTATATATGGGGGCCTTATTAATTAGAATAGGGTTTTGGGGCCACTATACGATACGTGTAATAAGGAACCCTAAAATATACCCCTGTATTCCTCACAAACATCTGTCGGTCAGAGAAGCGAGTCGAACGAGCCTGGTAGCACTTTGGCCACTCTCAGAACTTACCGAAAATGGAATCAAAACTAGCCATGACAGCGTCAGCTTCACGAAGCCACAAGATACAAGTGTCCGCCGGCAAAAGCTGGGGCTTTCTGCACGTGCGCAAGATTTTGTTGCGCTGATGGATGAAGTTGATGCCTGTAGAGCAAAGGAAGCACGACGGAAACGACTCGCCCCGAACAGTAGTTATTTAGGCCCCTGTATTCTGTTGGTGGGTTTCGCCTTGCCGGGATGGTCAGTTCACAGCTTCCTTTAGACCTTGCAAGGGCTGTGACTTTTTCATTCGGCAGCTGTAGCCGGTAAATGTATACCATGGAGGCAATCACCTCCCTGTGTAAGCATAGTAGTATACCAAAATGTTGCCCCAAACCTTCGTCATCATAAGGCCCCTACCATAGTGAGAAACCTACCACCCTTTTTCTTAACACCACAAAATAAAATCCTCATACAAACATAAAACAAAAACAAACACACGACAACAAAAGCCTTGCAAAACCCGAGAGCGACGGGTTTGGATTCAAACGGGTAGATAGCTGCCTCCAAGAAAATCCGCATCAAGGATCTCCTCCTTGTTGGTCGAAGCCATGGCACGTGCGCGCAAGCAGCCGGCGCAAGGCTTAAAGCTTAAGCTTGGCTGAAGCGCTTCGGGCTTATCCTCTTGCCCAAACCCTAAAACTCCCTAGTACTTAATGAGTTTGCCGGTTCACCAGGCAGGGATTGGCGCTAAGATGTGCGATAGTCACTCCTACGGCGTCCTCGGAAAACCTGAAAGCCTAACCCTAAGCCCGAGAGCCCTAACTGCCTGAACCATAAACCGACGCAAAAGAGCCTCAACCTTATAAGAACTTATCCTTTAGAATACCTCACTTATGAGTTCCTTATAGAAAGCCTTAAAAGCAACACCACGCCATTCCACCCAAATCTTCTAAACTCATGCATTCAAGCTGCAGGTAAACTAGTAAAGGCCTAGGCTTTAGGGTTTGTTTGGGGATCAGATCAGACACTGCGCAGTCAACATGCTGCTGTTTGTCGATCTGTCACGTCACGTTCCAAATAAATCGACCTTAGCCGGTAGCTTATAGTCACATAGTCCTACAGCTTCTGAGTCCTGACCTATGGGTTCGGGTGTTGGCCTGAACAAGCAAGTCGGCCCAAAGACTCCTAAATCCCTTATTCAAGAATGCACCTTAATTGGCTGTAAATGAGTTTTTCGTCACTGCCCATGGAAACTCCAGGACAAATCCTGCGACCGCTGGACATTTGGGTAGCTCCCTCGCTCACTGCGGCGCAAAGGGTTTAGTTTGGGTTTAGACTTTACAGAGTTTGGCGAACATCAGGGCCCGGATTGGAAACGACTCATTCGGGCCAGCGGTCGGTGCAGCCCTGCTCTACCTCCGAGGCAGTCGTGTGCTACCGGTCATAACAGCCTGGATTTTTGTATGCAGTTCCTTCTCATCTGTTTCAAACATTCGGGCGTTGAGTCTAGTCAAACGTTTAGTGGTCTATCAAGTGAGAGAAGCAACTACACTTCGAGTCCAGGTCCTTTCTGCTTCTCAACAGCAGACATGGCCTACCAAGGTCTTAACACTTTCATATAGGGGCCTTAATACTTAGAATATGGTTTGGGGGGTAGATTATACGTACGATAAATACAATAAGGAGCCCACAAAATAGTATTGGTAACTGTGAAGGCCCCTACAAGACCATTGCGTTGAGGTCGGTGACTGGATGCTTGAATCTTACAAGCGGAATACGGTAGGCCAACAAGACTGGTTGGGGTATTGTCAGTACCCATAGGCTCCATAGTCGTACCGTTTTGGGATTACCTTATAGGATTGTGAATATGAGCCACAAAAAGTAACTACTATGGCGTCTCTAGGTAGTTAGTCCCTGGGTCTATAGGGAGCAAGGTTTTGTCGCACAGTTCCCGGACGCACTATGCAAGATCCCGGCGACAAGTGTTGTTTGCCAATGCTATCTCGAAGATACGGAAGACGGTCCTGAGAAAGAGATGTGCGCCAAACGCACCAACAAGATACTGCAAAAACACCCTCGATGCATAAACTTGAAAGCCGCTGGACACGAACGACACAAGTCTTAGTGCTCCATACTGGACGAAAGAAACAGCTAAAGCCCTAGCCCTTCCAAAGTGACGGCAAGAACAAGTCGCAGATGCGAGTTGCGAGAATAATTACACGAGAACTGTGGAGGAAGAAACCCAAAACCTAAGCCTAAACTGTAAACCCTAAAACCCTTCTAAGTACTTCTCAAAGGGTCCAAGTAATGCTAGAGTAGATACTTTTGGGGCCAAAATGCCTACTATACTGGTACTTGGACCCTTTGGGCTTGACTGAGCTCCGACATTCGTTGACGGACGAATCAGGCCACATCTACAGGAAGCCGCCATGCACCTGCGAGGATCCTCCGCGATTTGAACCACGAATTTCTAGGGTTTATAGGGTTGGTCTTACTAACCGCCCGATACGGAAACACTAGATCACCTGCGTAGTTAATCCGAGCGTTGTACACACTCACCGGAACCTCTGAAATACACCCTGCTGCATAAAGGCTATAAAGGCTATATGTTAAGGTTTACGGTGGGGGGCTCTAATTATAGTGCTGGGCATTGGTTTGATGGTTAAGGGCCAAACTGTTTTGGGTTGAGTACTTTTGGTTTCGGCGCTGAGACTTTCTCAACCCCAAACTTATCTCGAGGCTCCGAAACCCCGCAAGTTTCGACTGCAGCTCCTGCCTTTAAGAGCCAGTTGGCGAACATTCCTGGGAACCTCGAACAAAAATCCTTTTCAGGGTTCTTGTTGCATAAACTTCCTCAAGTAAGTCCCTAAGCAGGTAGGTTAATTGGGGTTAAGGTATCCTGTACACCCTAATCATCGTGAACATAGGAATTTGATAAGCACCGAAACAGGCAAGCTGAACCCTAAACCCTTTACCGAACCCTAGACCCCATTACAAGCCCTATATACTAAACCCCACACCCTGAGCCCTGAAACGGCATGGGATCCTCCTACACCCGACTACTGCGCGGGACTTCCTCGGCATGTCAGGACCCTGGATCTTGTCAGTCTAGGGTCGTGAGACTACGGGTTCGAGTTTCGGTATCGCTGAGGGCTTAAGATTCCAGAGTGTCGGTTGGTTGGTTGGTTGGCTGGCTGGTTGGTTGGCGGGTTGGTACAAGGCTTCAGATGGGGTTGATTGAGGGTTTCAAGGTGTATAGGGCTTAAAGCTTAGGGCTCAAAAGGTTAACGGATGGAAGCTTCGGGTTGTAGTTTGGGTGAGACTTGATCGGGTTTACGGGGTCAGGAATCAGGGCCGCAGAGTTTCTGGCTCAGCTCGCATCTAAGAAGGCGGAGACACGCTTCCTAAACCCCAAACCTGAAACCCCTGTTCCCTGAAGCATATGCTCTTGCATGTTCTGGGTGTCTCTGAAGATCCTAAAATTGCTTATTAGGTCTTGCATTACTTCCTAGATAGCTACTGTTGACACCATATATGGACCCTTGGGGTTCTTCTTACTAGATACGTTCTTGACATAGCCCTCAATCCGAACAAGACTCTGCTGGGTGGACGAGCATGAACAACTCAAAGGCTGTTTCTATGCCGAAGGATTCTGGAGCCTTGTCTGAGCCTTAAAAAACGCACAGCCTTGGGTCTCCTTACTATAACCTCCTTGATCCATGTCCTCTAAAAGGTAGGTTCCGAGGTTTCTGGTAGCGGGTCAAGGGTTTAAGTTGCGAAATCACCGAGCAACGCTTGGCTTCAGGGACTCCGCGAAGGGTTGGTTAAGCATTGAAGGGGTTCGGATTCGGGATCTTAGGGTAGGGGGTGTGTACCTACCCCCCCCCCCAAGCAAGTAAAATGATGGCCCAAATCCTATCAAGCGCAAGTATTCTACATACTTTTGGGGTGTGTGAGGGGCTTAGGTCCAGGGCCCTGCGCTCGAGAAATCTCCCGACTGAATTCGCGCGGTCGAAACGGCAAGAATGCCACCATCGTCTCGGGATGCTCCGGGCATGCAGCCCTTAGAATCAGACAAGCAATGCTAAACTCTTAACCTCTAAGCCCAAGAGACCCTGAACTTTAGGCCCTAGGCCTTGAACCGTAGGCCTCTGAATGCATGTGTTTTCTTCCCAATTGCATTGAATGAGTTGCATGAGGAACCTGAAGGTTTAGTAGGGCGTCTAGGGCTTTTTAGTTCAGAGTTTCGAGGCGCTTCTGAATACGTGCTTCCAGGGTAGAGCGTCTCGCTGATCCCATAATGTGGCCCCTAAACCCTAAACCCTAAACCCAAACCCTAAACCCTAAACAGCACCATCTATGACAATCCGGGCCAGACGCCCAAACCAATGGCCGATGTCCAGGCCACAACAAGTAGCATGGGTTCCTGCAATATTGGTTATAACAATAAGCAGCAACGTTCGCTGGGGAAAAAAGACTATACTTCTGGAGAAGCTACGTACAATTGCAAGACGCTGAATTTCCCTTCTGCACCCGATACCTTTACAGACCCCAGAGCTTTACAAACCCCGCGTCCAAACCCTGAACCATAAAACCTTCGACCCCTGAACCCGTCACTCAGAGCCACGGTTTAGGGTTTAGGGCAACCCTAAACCCCAAATTTTGAGAACACCAGAGACGGCACGACCACGGTCGGGCTGAACTCGTGCCAGCCGGGAAAGATGTGCCGACAAGGCCCCATCCGGGAGAGTCTTCAGAAGCTCGTGCTTAAAGTCTTTAGGGTTCTGAGGGGTTTGAGGGTCTTTTGGTGGTTTTATTTAAGGGCCAGTTCCTCGTCGTGTATACAGGGGTCTTTTGTTCGGAGTGTCTAAGGTTGCTTACTTATAAGTCTTGAGGGCCAGTTTATGGCGTGGGTATGTGCATTCAAGGTCAGCGTTCGTATCAACACGTGCGCAGCATGGGACTCTGGTAAGAACTCAAGACAAGGGGAATGCAGCATTTGGGTTGCCAAGTAGGGTCTTTAAGATTATATGTATTGTTTACTTAAGGGATGTTGGAAGGTCTGGGAACAGCAGTCTCGCGTTTCAGTTCGAAGACAGAATCAGTCACCCGAGCCCGTAACCGGAGGCCTTGCTGCATGATAATTGAAGCTTCAAACGCAGAAGAGCGACTCCATTATCTCTTTCTGCAACTTCCGTTTACTTGCGTGCAGCGGCTTCTAAATTGTCAAGCTTCATTTAATATTTTTTGGCTACGGGTCTGCTCTTCCTCTGCTCACGTGCCGGCGCAATCTGCGCAGAAGAGGTCCAAGCCTTGCAAAACTCTGCGGCGGGTTAATCTAAAGGACTTATAGTGTTGGCTGTTAAAAGCATCACCCAATCATCAAAACGCAATGCTAAGTCGAAGGTATCGGTCAGGAGCCTCATGTTACACTCGCCGACACAGGTTCGCTGGGTTTACGCTGGATCTTCGGTGTAGGTTGACAGGAACCCCAACTATTGTGGGGTTGAGAGACGCGGGCAAAAAGGCATGGATGTGGCAAAAGACAGTGGGCCACGCTTGCTATGTCCAACCCCCAAGATCTTGAATCCTCCCAAACTCGAATTGAATCTTTTGTTGGCTTCGCACTGTCCCTCCTTGTCTCTCCTGCTATCGCTATAGCCCGGCTCACCCCGCTCCCCCCCTCCCTTCCTACCTCCCTCCTTCCCCCACTCTCTGTCTTTCTCTCTCTATCTCTCCCTCTCTCTCCCTCTCCCTCCGTCTCCCGCTCGCTCTCTCCCTGACTGAAAAGCAAATGCCTAAAGCCACAAGCCACCGGAAACATGAAAGTGTGGACCCCACATCAGGAAACCTAAGGGTTTCATGCGCCTTCATAAGGGCCCAAAAGGACTTGAGCATAGTCCCCTTACCCCTATGATGCCTGCTGTCTTCATGTCTCCTCCTCCTCCGGGTTCTCTGGCAGCTCTACGCCAGGCTCACATTCGAAGACGTATCCTCGGCTTGTCTGCAAGGTGTGGCTAGACAATACAGGGGCCTTAACAATTGGAATAGGTTTTTGGGCCCATTATACTGTATTTGTAATAAGGAGCCCCTCAAAGAAATATAGGTAACTACTAAGGCCCCTATAGTACACTTCTCGATTTGCGGATGGAAGGTCTAGGGTTAGGGATTCTGGACATGTTACACTGGGTGCCAACACCAGCAATACTTTTCGACCCAACCTATTGCGCGAGACCAGACACATGTCGTCCTTTTGAACGTTTCCATTATTGTCCTCACCGTTCAGTGAGGGCGATGTATGATAGAACTGAAACACCACGTTACGTGCTTAAAGTTGAGCTTCGAGCCCTCAATTCGCAAACTTCTTTTCCAGGAACTGCATGAAATACTCTCGCAAAAAGACAGAGGTCTACCAGGGGGGGGCCCTTTGCAGCTTCCTTGCTTTCTCTCTACTTCAAGAAGCAGACACGAGTGAGCCGACTGCAGTCCTTTTTGCTGCTGGAATCAAGTCTGACGCCCCAGCCCTATATCCTAAACACAAGACGCCAAACCCTGAACCCTGTTGAAACCCTGAACCCCAAACTCTAAACCCTGCATCCTAAAACGTAAAGTACGCAAAAAATCCTCGAAACTTCGGAGACTCCGGTTTGGCATTCAGAGGTTTCCTGAACTTAGAGGTATCTTACCATGGACAGGGAAGGATTCACCGTGATATTCTGAAACGCCGGATTGCGGTTAAGGGCTCTTGAGTCTTGTATCTTTGACTGACATCGCGAAACTGAAAGCCTGAACCTACCATCCTAAATCCCAACACCTTTGCAGAACCTCCCGACACCGAAACCACCATAGAAACTCATAGGCTGATAACACCTTTCAAGTTCTCTCGCTCGAGCCCCTGAGTGTGATATCCTGAAGCCCTATACTTAAACACCACAGTTGCATATTCAAAGGCTCTACACACAGGGCAGGTGGATGCGCTTTGTCGTCCCGAAAGGGCCCACGTGACGATGCAGCTCTCGCAGAAGATGTGCCCGCACCTTTGCAGTACTGGAAAGATAGGAGGGCTCAACCAGTATACAGGTTGTAAAGAAGGAGCCCGGGCTTTATATAGACCTTGATGCACGCATAATTCTTCTCCAACCCTGGATGCTAGATATGTCGAAGCACATAATTGGCACGGGAGGGGGCGGGGGGGGGTGGGGGAAAGGCTTTGGGGTTTGTGCAGTCTAGGGTTTTATGGCAGTATGTTAACAGTATGTATGCTTTGTCAGAGTATGCATGCAAGAATACATGCATGTATGTATGTTTGCATGTGTGTATCATCACTGGCATCCTCAACAATGTTGTCATTCCTCAGTTTAGAAACTGCATTGATGTCGATGCCAGCTATCTGATAGTTGAGGTTGTCCCCTTGGTTTTAACCGTGGCAATTCAGTGCAAAGTGGAAATTCTGTTAATTATGTTTGCATCTGGAAAACGGGAATTCGCTTCTATTGTTGGATGATGCCTGCACTGCACATGCCTGCAATTCCGCAGGCATGGCAAACTTGTCAGCCGAAGCTTATCGCATTTGGTGTTACCCTACAAAGACATCCGACATGTTGCGTTTGCCTTACAAAAACCCTACAGCTCTACCTGAATATAAGGCAAGCCTGATCTTTCTGGAAAGCCCCTATATGTTGGGTGCTGGAGTCGTGGCAAGGCACACCAGCACCGCGACGTCGTGGTCGGACTCGAAGTCCGTGTAACCTTCAGGCTCGGAGCTCTCCGAAGATCAAAAACAAACCGGCTTTAGGGTTTAGGGTGTCCATAGGGTTTGAAATACCCCTAAACCGTAAACCTAAACCCCTAAACCCATCTCCAAGCTCTATAAACCGCAAACCCTTTTTGAGTCCGACCCTCAGAGGTTGGGCGCTTACCGCCTACCGGGAGAGGGCTGGAGGTGTGTAACCTGGTCACAAAACATACCGCAAGCTTTATGCTTTTCCACAGAATTGTGCACTACGGCTCGGAACTTCCCGATGATCCTAGAGCAACACCCCCCAAAACCCAACTAAACCGTAACGTGACGGTGGTAGAAGCTGCTATAGACTTGACCTGCATTCTGCGCTGCAGCCTCCGCCTCCTTTGGGGTTTTTAGGGGTTAAGCCTAGTCCTGAAGGTAAGGCAAGGTTGAACAACACCAAAGCATATGCGGAATCCAGGTGACAGCAGCAGCAGCCACTTACGGAACGAAGGGGTGCTGCAGCGTCCGTGGTCTCCTGCTCCCGCAGCATCAACACGACCTGGGCAAGTTTTGATGAATTTTGGATAGTAGGCCTCAGAAACGAACAGAACAACACAGGGCTTTGAGTCAAGGGCTTGGCTTTCTAGCCTATACGCACAGTTACCCGCTGGATGTGTGTTTAAGAACCCTTGTCGAACAAGAACTTTGTGTCTGAAGTTTGGTTGTACAGGGACCTCTACATAGAAAAAGCTAGTATGGCAAGGGGCATAACGGCTCGGCGGAGGGCAACTTCCTAGAAGCTACCTAGGAAACACACTTTTTTGTTTGCTGGGTTTCGTGGCCAGACTTGTATTTCATTTATACAGGATTGTCTGTACACAAAGTAACATATATATATATATATATAAATAAATAAATGAATAAATAAATAGATAAATAAATAAATAGATAGATAAATAAATAAATAAATAAATATATGTGTATATATACTTCATATTTAAGAACGTCGAAAGGTCACCTACTCAGCTGCGATGCCGAAGCCAGAAGGCCCGATCTCTTCTTGCGCAAGGGTACCGGGAACGCAGCTTTCATTACACTAAGGTTCTAAGATTAGGTCATTCACCGTAGCCCCCTCGAGAGCAATGGGTAGTTAGTTCTCTCAATTAGGGTCTCCTTTGAGGTCCAAAAAATAAGGGCGCCGCACTATATTCGGGACCCAAAACGGGAAACTAATTTGGAGAACGACCTATACTTTTTTGGGATTACCTTGTAGGATTCTAAGATTCTAAATATGAACCATAAAAAGGATTCCTGTGGAGCCTCTAGGTATGCAACACACTTAGCGCAAAGCCTGTGCTGAAGCCTAGGATCGAGCAACCGAAAAAAACAACCCCCGAAATCCAAACCCTACGCGCGGAAAGGCAGAAACCCTAAACCCTTGGATCCTATGACCCTAAACCCTATAACTCCATTAACCCTACACCCTATAACTCTATAACCCTTAACCCCATAGGCCCCTAAGCCCCTAAACCCTATAAGCCTGTACCCTAAGCGCCTATAAACCCTAAAGCCTAAACAGAAATCCGTGTGGCCGGATCTGCCCCACGCTCTCGCGGTCGGCGCAGGAGGAAGACTTCGAAACGCGAGGGCTCTGCCGAAAGCCTTATGGGAGATTCCGAAAATAGGGGACCCTAATATAGTACCCTAAATATCAGGATCCTGATTATAGGGACCCCAAAACAAGGTGCCCAAAGCCTTCTAAGGTTTCGGGTCTTCACAGGTTAAGGGATTGGGGGGCTTTGTGGTTCAGGGGGCGTTGGGGCTGAAAGAATTTAGGCTTTATGGGGTCTAGGTACTTTGCTAAACACACCGAGTATTTTTCGGGGGTTTATTTGGAAGTTATGGGATACGAGAAGGTCATGGGTCTAGGCTTGATGTGCAGGGTTTGGGACCCCAGTCTACGCCAAGCGTCGCTCCATATGGTGACCGAGCCCATACACGACAAACCTGCTCGAGAGCTTGGAAGGGGCTTAGGGTTTAGGGGTTTTGGGTTTAGGAACCGCCAAGGTAGTTCGCTACAAACTGAGGACAACCCAAGCAGAATCCTTATGAGGAGTGCCGAGCCCAAAAATGAACTGCAGCATTCCGTAAGCAGGTATACAGTACCCTAAGGGTCCATGTGCCCAAATAGTATATACTTTGGCCCTGAAGCACCTTGGCCAATGTATATATTATATTTAGGAACATGGACCCTTAGGGGATAACTTACACCCTCAATCCGACATAAGATGCGTATGTCACAGGAGTCTCTGGGCCCGGAGCAGCAAGGGCCTACCATACGGACCTTAATAATTAGAGTAGGGCTTTGGGGCCCATTATACTTATACCTGTAATAAGGAACCCCCAAAACTCACTGGCCCAAAAATCAAGGAAACAGAAGTTGAAACTTTCAGAATCGAGAACTTTCTAAGAACACCAAAAGTTGAAAAGTTGAGTTTACGGCCAATGCGAAAATAGTAGTGGGGAATTATTAAGGCCCATCTAGTACAAGGCTCATCTTGACCACCGATATCTTGGAAGTCCCATGCGAGGCCTGTGCGGGGCGCATGCTCATTCCTGCGTAGATCCTGACGAGCTTGTTCCTGAGGGCTTAGGGGTTGAAGGTCAAAGGATTATATACCATAACCCGGATTAACCTACCTTTTTAAGGGCTTAGATGTAAGGAAATCATAATTATCAGGAGCCCTAAAACAGTAGGTTGTTCAGGGGTAAGGTAGGGCTTGCTCATGCTAGCGGTTTCTGACACCTCGGACGGGAGCTTAATTAGAGTTTCGGCCTTTCGGGCCGAATAGGATTCAAGGTGAGTTGACACGTTAGTTCCCTGGGACTGTGCTAACAGATGGAGCCCATGCTCAGCACGAGGTGCTCGAGTCATCGAAATATTTCAAGAATGGAACGCTCACACACATGCTCAAAACGTAAAGCTCAATACGCTGCGAGCCCTAGCTTCACAAAGCCTACTTGTTTATGGAGTCTGTGTAAGGACATCGCAATGCAAGTAGGGAACCCGAAACATGTTCCGAAGTGGCTGATGTCTACACCGTAAGCCCGAAGACCCATGTCAACTGGATGTCCTGTCTTCCCAAGATTCGGATCGCTTTTCGTAACCCTTAGTCAGGGATATGGCCGGGTAGAGGTTTATGAATTAGGAGTCCTTGAGCCTTTGGTGCCTAGCTCGATGGTTAGTATCTGCTTTCTAGAAACGCAAATACCCCAATTCAGGGTTGGGGTATGACCCTCTAGGCATCTATGTACCCTAAACCTTATGTAAACCCTATAAGCCCTTGGAAACTCCCTAAACCCTTAAACCCTTTGTAAAACCTATAAACCTCTTTGAGACTCCCAAGCGGCTGTACCACAGCCCAGAAGACGTAGAGCAGGACGATGAGTATGAACGGAGCCGGTTGGGGCTCCTGTATGGGATTGAAACCTTATTGGTTTTATAGGGTTTCGAGCTCTGTTTAGGGTTTATAGGGTTTAGAGTTTAATTTAGGGTTATAGGGCTTAGAGCTAAGTTTAGGGCTTAGGGACCTGGGAAATTATGGAGGGGACTCCGAAACTTCGGGGGGGTGATACGGTTGATGATATAAACCCTGCATTACCTTAAGGACCCTAAACTATGAGAATTACGGCATGTTCCTTATTCTGGATGATGCAGGGTTTCTATCATCAACCGTAGTATCAGAGTAGTATCAGGATCCTACGGCCAGGGAAAGGAAACCTGAAGGACTCTGGAGACTTAGACTCAGGAATGTCGGGAGGGTTCCTTTCTGGGGTTTCCTCTACGGCTTCTTAGTGTTGAAGTCAAGGGAGCATAAGGCTTTCTATGAAGTGATGTATACCTTAACCTACCAAACCCTACAAAAAAGTAGGGTCCCTATAAATTCCATATTAAGGTTCATAATAAGCACCTACAAAAAATAGGGTTTGGTAGGCTAAGGTAGGCTTTCGGGATTTGGGGTGCGTTGGTTGCGGCTCGGTGTGAGGAGGGATGCTACCAAGTTTGGGATGTACCTCAAGCTACAAGAACCTACTTCTTTGTAGGCTCTGACTAAAGGCCCAAATTCTGGAGTTTGTAGGGACCCTACAAGAAGTAGGTTTTGGTAGGTTAACGAAAACATAGGGCAGGCCAGTTGCCTAGAAAGCGGCTGCTCTTCCGGAAGATCCGTATATCCCTAGTAAAGCTCAAGAACCGCAAAACAAAGGGTTTCTGGCTTCTGGTTTTGAAGTCCAAATTTGGGGGCTGAGAACTTGGAGTCAGCGTTTTGCGGGTTGAGGCCTTGAAGTCAGAGTTATAGGGCTGAAGCTCCATCAATCATAATTCATTGCTTTGGCGTGAAGGTCGGATTGGAGGCTTAGGGTTTAAAGACAGTCCCTCAGGGCTCAAATGCCGGCCTCTCATATACCCCACCAAAACCTACCTACAGATTTCGCGAGCCCAAGTGGCACTTTGGGCCCTTATAGGGCAACCTAGCGGCCTCGAACATTAAGTGATAATGTACCTTTATAGCTCGTACATGTACTTATGTATATATCCCCCCAAGCCCTACTGATGAAGGCCATCGGAGCCATGCGTAACGGCTCGTGATTCAAGGCCAACCACAAACCCCCATGCGATGACTGAGCGATCGGCCAAGCTGTCTGCGGGATTTTCAAACCGAGTAAGGAGTTTACGAGTTCGGAGTTTGAGTTTACTGCTTATCGGCTGGTACAGACAGAAGATTCACGGTCAAAAAGGCTTAGGAGTGGAAGGGTTGGGTTTAGGCTTCAAGGGTTCAGGCTGTGGTTGTAATTACAGCGCAGATTTGGTAGCCTTCGTCTATCTGCATTCTGTTGAAGGTTTGGGACTATGTAGCCCCTATCGAGCCAAGGTGCTGGCAAATCCTGCATGATGATGGGGACACCAATGAGCACCTCGGCCACTGCCCCGGTAATGTATGGGCCTGAATACAATGATAATGTTCTCTTTTAGTCGCTGTAGTCTTTAATACAACTTCATCGTAACATACCTCAAAAGCCTGTTAAACCCATTCGGCCGACACCTTCGGCAAAGCCTACCTTAACCCCGAAGAACCTACATTTTTCTGGACTTACATAAAGAAATTATAATAAGGAGCCCTAAATAGGTAGGTTATGTGGGGTTAAGGTATGGCCTAGCCCTGAACCCTGAACCAATACACGCGGATCCTCTGGCCCAAGACCCCTCAAGCGTCCTGAAGCAGTCAATATCTCCAAAAGCAACTACCCATAGGCCCCAAAGTAGTTCCTTTTTGGGAATACCCTATAGGGTTCTATATATGAACCCCAAAAAGGAACTACTTTGGGGCTGGAGACTATAGGTAGGTCTAGGGTATGCGATGTCGCCCAGAGGCAACGCCCAGTAGCGCCGTCAGAAGCCAGCGTAGCATCGCTAACCGATGGACCTGGGTTACCCGACTGTATAGTGACGTAAAGTACTAGTATACTAGTTCTTACGTCATCGGCCGCAATACAAGCAGTGCCGTCAAACCGATCCCTTGGGGCAAGCACCCGAAGACTCCCAGACAAGTGGACAAATCCTGGAATGCGCGATGAATCACAGCGAGGATACCCCCCTCACTAATTCATTAAAAGGGTATTAGAACGGAAACATGCAGAGGTTCAAGATGCAATGGGAAGCCAATTGAGTATGTTCAACAGGATTCTTGAAGGGACTGATGGGTCTGGTCTGAGCATTTCGGGTTTGGGGAGAGGGTTGCAGGGCTCATGCTCTTTGGGCATAGGACATGAGGATCGGCCTTTCATAAGTCTAGTGATTACAGGGTTTGGGCTTAGGTTTTAGGGTCAGGGAAAAAAGCCATCCTATTAGAATGGTTTAGGATGCTTAGCAGGGCTTTGGAACTTGGGGTCAGGGTATAAGATGTGTTAGGGTTTAGGGTTTAGGAATGGTTCGGACTCTTGCATGTTGGCTGGACTGGCGCCCAAAGCATGCACAAACCCTAAAAGCCCTGAACCCTCAACCGTCGAACGCTCTGGGCACCAGGCCGAGTTAGGCAAAGCCGCGTCCATGCGACCCCAAAGACCACCGAGGAAGCCGCGACTGACGGAAACGGACGGAGGCTTCTACCGAAAGAGCCAAACACCATCGCATTAATGTAGGAGTACTATAGGTTACATGTAAAATGGTACGCCCGATAAGGCTCTAAACCTAAACCCTGGGCTGTAGTGTCTAAAGCATGTTATTGTCATCTAAGGGACATCGGGCTCTTCTGGTCGGCTTTGGGTGAGGTTTTGCCACCTGTTTAGCTGTACAAAGAGCTTTCGGCGTAGCCCAGGCTTTACCATGGCCAGATAACTCCTGCGAGAATCCCGAGTTGGCGATCCAAGTGTTGGTGATACCACAAGGAATACGGTTAAGAGGGACAGAGTTGCAACAAGTTCCGGCTTCGGGCAAACGGCGCCGGCAATAGGTGATCTGAGTTTCCGGGTGTGGAAAGCGCGGCAAAACAAAGGCCCCCTCCCGGATTCCCCCACCCTGCACCTGATCGGCCGAAAATGGGTTCCGTCCGACAAGAACATACTCTCGAGCTCCTCGGTTGAGGGGCGTGGGTATCTGCGTATCGGGGCGAGGAAACCTATAATCGAATGCATTTCGGCTTGCTCTCTAGCCTGCTTTGTATGAAATTTTCCTGGGTGTGAGAGATTTGGTGATTTGGAAGCAGGGTTTTTGTGAGCAGGTTCCTACATTCGATGCCAAGTGCAGAATGGCGTCGTCCTCGTCTGGGAGTACCTGAGGTGCGTCCGACACCGGTCAGAGTCACCCACGTATGGGGGGATGCTACTCAAAGAAGGGGGGTTATTGGTCAAAGGCCTACACCGCATCCGGAGTGCTGTGCTACGGCAGGCTGGGCAGAGTTACTCCTTCGCGGAAATCACTAGCAGTCCGGCTGCTTCCACTCCTACTGCAACTGCAGTAGCGCTGCTCCTCCTTTTCCTCCTCCTCCTCCTCCTCCTCCTCCTCCTCCATGTACTACTACGACTACTAAAACCACCATGACTCAGTGTCGCCTCGTTGCAGGCGTACTGCGGCAACTTCAAGCTGATAGAGGTGTTCAGCCAGGTGTAGGTATAACATGAATACAGTCCCAAACCCCTAACCCGCAATCCCCTAAACCCCTTTACAGGCCTTTTCAGCAATCCTCTAAACCCTGAACCCTAGACCGTCGGTAGTCGGTGCAGAACGGCTTCAGAGTTCAGCCGGTGTTCCTCCGCATATGACCTTTCGTGGATCCCTATAAAGGAACCCTAAACCCCTTTGTAGAACCCTTACAGATCACTTTAGGGAGCTCTTATGACCCTACTTGGAACGCCAGGGGACTTAGTAAGTCGTTTATAAGTAGGCTTACAACTGGGGTAACTCCATTTAGGGTACTTATAACTCTACTTATAACCTACTTACTAAGTCCCCTGCCCCTCCAAGTAAGCCACCACAAACAAATCCCTACCCCCTACATAAACCCTAAACCCCTTTATGGAACCCTTACAGATCACTTTAGGGAGCCCTTATGGCCTTATGGATCCCTTTTAAAGGAACCCTAAGCCACCCCAAATCCCTAACCCCTAAACGCCTTTTAGAACCCTCACAGATCACTTTAAGGAGCCCTTATGGATCCCTTTAAAGGAACCCTAAGCCACCCCATATCCTGCAGGCCCAGCAGCCCGGTCCATGGGATCCGACTCTGCCTCCGTCCGCGCCATCCCGGACCAGTCGACCATGAACGGCATATCCGGTCTGCTAACCCTCCTCCGGGAACCCAGAGACTCCAAAATCCCTTAAGCAAGGAATATTCCTTAAATTATGGTAGGATCCCTTATATGATCTAAGGTATATTCCTTAATTAGGGGATATTGGAGTCTCTGGGAACCCCAAATGGCCCTTTGATAGAGTCCTTATGGCCCGTAATGGTGGGTATTTGGGGTATATTGGAGGGTAGTTGGGGGTCCCGGCTATGATCAAGGCTTGTTTAGGGTTTAGGGTTTAGGAAACCCTAAACTCTGAACCCTAAACCCTTGTGGTTCGTTCAATCAAAACACCTCCGGCTGTGGAAAGTTCGCCTGGTGTCTTGGGTTCAAGGCTGTTTTTGTTTTAGGGTTTAGGGTTTAGGGCTGTTTTGCCGGCGCACACGTACGACTTCATTCACTATGATGCGGCACCGGTGTTATTGATGTCACTCTATACATCGTAGTCAACCCCTATACACCCTTTGCTGCAGGCTATACACCCTAAACCCCAAGCCCTATCTAAAGTGAAACAAACATCGGCTCTTGGGGGCTCAGGCTCATCGACATCGCATCTCCTGCGTGGTGCAACCCTGCAGTCGCCGACTTGAGCCAACATCGCCGAGTTTTGGGTTTAGGGGACTCCAATATCCTGTAACTAAGGAATATTCCTCAAACCATATTAGGCCCTCATATGGTTTAAGGAATATTCCTGAAACCATCTTAGGCCCTAGTATGGTTTTAAGGAATATTCCTTAATTAGGGATGGACGCCTGCACCCAAGCCCTGAGCTCCCGCATCAACAGAAGGCCTGAAAGATTCGGCTAGGATTTGGGTTTAGGGCTTAGGGCTTAGGGCTTAGGGTTTAGGGTTTAGGGTTTAGGGTTTAGGGTTTAGGGTTTAGGGCTTAGGGTTTAGGGTTCTGGGGATTCCATGGGGGCCTCCTCTACCTATAGTCTCCATTGTAGTTCCTTTTTGAGGTTACCTTTTAGGATGCCTAATATAGAAATGGTTAAACCAAAAAAAGGAACTACAACGGAGACTATAGGTACTATCGATTCAACAGGGAGCTCAAAGGAATACCATTACTGATTGGCCCGGCCCATATATTCACCTTGACCCTAGTTCCCGTCAATCAACGTTTGCTCAAACTCAAACCCTGGGCGGGTAGCCAGCTTGCAGACGTACGCGGCAGGTGAAGACGTTCAAGGGTTTCTTCGGCTTTCATGCAACAACCCCTAGGACCCTGGACCCTATGTAAACTGTGGAGAGATTTCGGGCCACGATGGGCCCATGACCATACGGCTTAATTTAGAGAGCGGGACTTTTCTCACCAAGAAAAAATCATTAAGACAGATCTTGAAATTGACTCTTGCAGGAGCAGCCTTGGAAACAGAACGTGGAAACAGTTGGCACCTTGCTATCAGTGCTTTCGGTCCAGGGCGCAGAACAAAGGCCATGACGACGAGAAATGAATTTTGGGGGTACGCTTATTTGTAGTTGTTCTCTTTCTGATCTGGCTTCATTCTACTACTGTTCGGTTACTACGGATCTTGTAAGTGGTATTATATGCTACGCAGTCCCAAACAAAGAAATTGTCATTTCCAGGGGTCATGGTGGGGCTCTAGCTTCGTTAGGGGTCCCCTTTTTTGGGAAGGCCCTCACAATGAGAGCATTACGAGTGCGGTGCAGGGTTCCAACAAAATCCAGAAACTTGCATATGGTTTCTAAAGCCTTGGGTATTTAAGGGCTTAGGGTGTTAAACTTGCATACAAGCTGAAGGTGTAGCATTATTATAGTCTGCGGTGTGTCATAAGGCGGCCATTCGCAGTTCCAGGCTATTCCAGGCTCGTTTATTTTAAAATAGGGGCCTTAATAGTTTGACTAGAGCTTTGGGGCTTGTATTTATTTAAGCCCCGAAAGTAGAGCTGCCGTTTACTTCAGCGAGCTTTGGCATCTGTAGGCTCCGGCCCTAGACATACATCTCGATGGCCGAAATCCGTAGACTCTAGCAGGCCGAGACCAAATTACAGTGCAGTCCAAACCACATTTCGCACAAACTGGTACATGCCCCAACACAAAGGTTCCAAGTATCATTATGGTATGTACTTAGACACCCAAAATGCCATAATTATACTTGGACCCTTTGGGCAACCCTTTTCAGTAAACCGCCCCCCCCCCCTCGATCTCAAGCCCTGAGCCCGATGTACATGCAACGCTGGGCACTATAAAACCGCCTACAAGTAGCAGGTTTTGGCCCTAAAATCCGCTAAAATCCTGAACATCCCTGAACAAAAGCGATTCAACTCTTGGAATCTCAAATCCGCTCCATCCCATCCCAAGGCCGATTCAACTCTTAGTGCGGCACATCAGCAAACCAAAGGAGGCGCCAAGAGCTCCCAAGACGATAAGCAATGTTCTGGCAGCGAGAAGAGCTGGGTGTTTCTCTTCCGATATGGGAGCTTCCGAAAATTACAGGTGACTTTATTGTGGTGTCCTTATAGTGAAGATCCTACTATTTCGGCGCTCACACTCGGACAATCCAGGCGAGGCATATGGTTCGGAGTCTGACAAGTGAAACGACACTAAGTCGTCAATTGATAGGCAGCACAGAAATTAGTAAACACGTAAAGTGACTGTACCTCCTCAAACTGCTTCCTACCACAAGTGTACCCGGTAGGGCCCTGGGGCCCACGAAGACAGATCACTGCCATGATAAGGGAAAGAAAGCACAGAAGTGGATAACATCTGAAGTAATCCAGGCTCAGCATGTTGTGATCTCAGCATCATCCTCACGATCCTACTATTTAGGGGTACTGTACTAGAGCCCCCTACTCTCGGAAATTCCCATATCGGTTTATAGTACACCCTAAACCCTGTAAGCTCTGTAAGACCCCTTAGGTCAAAGGTCTGAAGGGGCCAAACCTGAAAATTAAAAAACCCTTGAAAACACCCAACACCTAAAACCCTAAGCAACCCTAAAATGTAGGGATTACCTGAATAGCCTACCTTTTTTTGCTGATCCTTACTATGATTTCCTTACATAAGTCCTTAAAAAGGTAGGTTATTCCGGGTTAAGGTAGGGACAACTCCAGAATCTTTTCAGGCTCACAGCTGGATGGAGAAAGGAAACCTCTTTGACAAATCCCTCAAGCCTACCTTAACCCTGCATAACAGACCTTTTTAAGGATTTGATATAAGGTAATCATAATAAGGAACCCTAAAAAGGTAGGTAATTGAGGGTTTAAGGTAGTGCAATGTTCTGTAAACCCGATGCCCCGACAATGGCTCGGCCGAGGGACACCCACAGAACGGAGCCCTCCTCCTCTCCCAGCAGCAAGATCACCCTCAGCATCACTACAGGGTTTAAGGCAGTTCTCCGAATGAAATCCGTTTTCACCGATTACAGTACTGTGCGAGTGAATCTAAGTAGGAGCGAAAGTGGGGAACCTAAGGTCTCTAAGGCTTTGTGAGCTTTTTTCCCTCCTACTCAGCAGGGTCGAAGCCCGCATTGCAGGGTAAGTTCGGGGCAACTGGTGACTACGGCTTCACTTACCGAAGCAAATTCACAACCGATTCACAGGTAACTACTGACATATGGACCAATTGTCTTCAGGGTTCAGGGACAAAGTTCATTTGGGTTTCTGAAGGAAGACATCACACTTTTAAAAGACTGGAATGTACGAGTGAGCCGAGGGTTCGATTGGGGCCGAGGAAGTCCGGAGTCATGAGCTTCGGGTGAGTTTTCCCCGGACATGGCCCCAAGTTCAGCGAAAACCAGTTTCACCCTGGGGGGTTTAAGTTGACATAATTACCTACAAGTATAGTATTATTCCCGGAAACCCGAATAAACATATTAAGGCGCCTATTCTAGGGCCTATAGGGTACCTACAAGTATAGTATAATCCCCGAAACCCGATTAAAATTATTAAGGCCCATTTGCCTAGGGTCAACCAGTACGTAGTCTACATCTGCCTATCTACATCATGCAGGTACGGCTTCGGACCCTTGTCCTGAACGAAATTGGCGTTCGAATCTAGAACCACCGCCACCACCAACAAGGGTGGCACCTGACAAAGCCTAAATGTATGTGTACATTATATGTATATATATATACACACATACACACACTGAGACACACACACACACACCTTTACATATGTATATCTATGTGTATTTATGCTTAAGTTGTGTTCGTAGAATGTGTGTACATATAAAGACATGGCGATTTAACAACTAACTAATTGTCTATCTATCCTTCTGTATCTATTGTTATCTATGTATCTGTATCTGTCTATCGTTTTGACTATCTATCTATACCTATCTGTCATGGATCTAACACTACCTGTCTATCAACCTACCGACCTACCGGTCTGTCTGTCTGTCTGTCTATCTCTCTCTCTGTCTCTCTCTCCCGACTTTCGGTGCTTGGGGCGATGAGCTACAAAGCCGCGCCCTCCGAGAGGGCCACGGTGGAGGGTAGCCTCAAAATGAACGATGCATTGAACAAGATTAACGGGCGTTCCCCTTCCTACCGAAGCCCGCACAAGGGTGTAGGGTTTAATGGTTACGGAATTCACAAACATGTCTCTGGTATCGTGCCATCGAGCTATGTACAATTGCTACTGCGGCTAGGAGGCAGCGCATTCTGAAAAGCTAACTACACTGTTCCAGAAAGCCTTACCCTGAACTTCCAGATAAAGAGCTCTCTGGCCTACAAATCGCTGACCCTCCCCAGTTTGTGCTTGGAGGCTTCGAAATTTCGGCGCGAATCTTGGAACCTTGGACCACCGCTCAGGGCCGGACACAATGAGCATCGCAAGCAGAAGCAGGAAGAACATGAACCTCCCGTAGACTCAAATCTTCCTTTGTTCTGCTCACCCCGGTGCTTGTTGGCCGCCTGTTGGGTTTGATGGGTGCTTACAGCAGAGACTTGTAGCAGCGACTTGTGCGAGAGTGGGGGACGTACCATTTCGGGCTTAAGGTTTGGTCAAAGGTTCCGGGGTAGGTGTCGGGTAGAGCTTGCTTCAACTCTTACGTTTGGTGAGTAGGGAATGGAAGAATGGTAGTAACAGTAGTTATAACTATAGTTGTACCCCATTCCTCCATTCCATACTAACCGAAGGTAATCCCTTTAAAGGAGGCCTAAGTTGCTTCAACTTCCGGAACCTCCAACTGCGTGTCTCAGCTGCGGGCTGCAAGCCAGCGACAACGTTCAGACACCAAGGTATATACCCTTAATATAGCTATTATATACCATATGCATATATATATATATATATATATATCCCATTATAGGGTAGGGACCAAGGAAAAGCCATAGGGTGAAGTCGCGGAAACCAAAAAGGCCAGCTTGCCTTTATAAGGTTTAGGGCTTAGGGTATCATATTATGGACCGCCAAATTCAGGCATAAACCCTCTCCTTTCAACTCTCTCTCGGACGGAAGTCTGCCAACCGCCGTGGGGTCCAGCAGAGACCAGTCTCAAGCAGGCGCACCAAAGAGGCTAAACTGGAAGGTGCATGGGTAGTTCCATCATTTGGGCCATGGCCTTAATAAAAAGAAGAGGCTCTGGGGGGTTCCTTATTACGATAATTACAGTAGTATAATATACCCACAAGCCTTGTTCTAATTGTTAAACCCTTCTATTATTTCTATCCTTTGGGCCACTATGAATGCTCTTAAGGGTCGCGCAGGGTCAGCTGCCAAGGGTGCCTTTCCTGGTGCTAGTCATATATAACTAGTTTAACGGAGTGTTGGGGTATATTATACTAATAGGGGCATTAATGAGAACGGAGGTTTGAGGTACATTTACAAAAATGCATAATGAGCAGCCCCAGAATAATGTTCTTAATTATCAAAGCCTCTATATTAGCCCATGTGACCACAACCAGGAGAAGGGAACTACGGAGACTGTGAACCTTGGTGCTCTTTCGAAACTAAAACTATACCCTAAACCCTGAAGGCTGTTCTGGTGAGCCGGGGTTGGAGCCTCGTGCAACAGGTGCAGCAAGCAGATACCTGCCGGAGCAGTGGGTTTTGGGATTACTTACGGTTTCTCTAGGGATTAAAGTTTCGTGTAGAATCAGAAAACGAAACAGGATTTGGGATTTAACATAGGGGCCACAACCCTTGGAATAGGGTTTGGGCACAGCACAATGCCATAATAGTAACAAAACATATGTGATTACTATGGTGCACGAAAGGCTTGATGGTAGCACTGAAGCAATCGTAACCTCTGCTAACAGCAGTATGGTGCAATAAGCATAACAATACCAATCACAAGACTGATGAAAACAAGACATGGCCAGTCGTGGTGGTGGTGGTGGTGGTGGTGGTGGTGGTGGTGGTGGTGGTGGTGGTGGTGGTGGTGGTGGTGGTGGCGGTGGTGGTGTATTATGTAATATCTATAGCAGCAGTAAAAACAACAAATGATAACACGCGTAAGCTAGAAGCTGCCAAGGCCCAATATGAAGACCAACGCTCAAGAGCGCACAACATAAAGTCCTTACCTAAACCCCAAAAGTAGGTTGAATAATGGCCCAAAAACCTACAAGGGCTATTATTCTACATACTTTTGGGGTCCAGGTACCAGCAAACCTCCACCCTTTTATAAGGAATATCGTCAACATCTCCAGAGAGGGCTGTTGTCATTCATGGGCTCTGCGGGGTTTCAGATGTGAGGACAACAAACACAACTCTGGATCCAAAGCGGTGAGACCGTAGTGTTACAAAGAATCCCTACACTCCTACAAAGTCTCAAACTTCCAGAAATCCCTCCACGTGAATGATGACTTCACGCCCTAAACCCTACGCATAAGCCCCAAAGTAGTTCCTTTTCGGGGTTACCTTATTAGATTCTATATATGAACCCCAAAAAGGAACTACTATGGGGCCTTAGGGTAAACCCTCTGACAGCCCCGGCGGGATCGTAGTCATCGCGCAATGTCCGCGATAGTCTCTCGGTCGCCCTGCCCCAAGCGCTCCCGAAGCCAAAGGAAAGTTTCCGCCGTTCCACAAGGCTTCTGAAAGAGCTACTGTAGGGGCCTTAATATTTAGAAGAGGGTCGCTTTTAAAGGGGTCTACATAAGGGTTACTACAAGGGAGCTATAGTATAAGTGCCTTCATGGTTAGAATAGGGTTTGGGGGCCCGGCATACTATAATCATAATAAGGAACCCCCGAAAGAGTGTAGGCAATTACCCATAGGCTCCATAATAGTTCCTTGTTGGGATGACCTTATAGGATTCTAAATTCTGAATATGAACCCCAAAGAGGAACTACTATGGAGCCTCTAGGTATTGAGGCCCCTATAGTATGGGGTTCGGGTTTCAGGGATGTAGGGCTTTACCGTCTCTAGGTTCAGGGCAGGACGTGGGACTAGCTTGCATTCATTCCGGGTCGAACTTTTGGCCTGAAACGCCGTTGGGGAATACTTAGAGGATCATGGGACTTAGTAAGTCAGGTTATAAGTACCTTAAGTGGGAATATAAGTGGTTATAAGTACAGTTACCTTATTTATAACCCCAGTTACTAAGTCCCATGATCCTTTAAGTATAGTGTAGGGTTTTAAAGAAATTTAGGAGAGCCAGTTGTTGAGGTTTGCAGTTTGGGCTTCGATACAGCGATCGGCATTGCTTCACAAGACAGCACAAGGAAGGTCTCGGCAAACACACGCACACATGCGAACGACTCGCAAGCACTGCAGTACCGTGACTGCATGCACAAACCATGCTGCAACTGCTGGCAGCCCTAAACCCCTCAACCCTACTGTAAAGCCCCAGCTTCTGGCAGCAACTGTAAACGGCTTCAAGGCACCGGAAGAAGCTGATGAACTGGTCCATCGAAATCAATCCTTGGGAGAGTAGGGCTCACATGTGGGTGGTTGTCAAATTTCCGGTCCCCTTGTAGGTCCTTCTTTTTCCTACGGCACCTAGTATTCCAGGTACCCAAGAAGGTACCCCAATTTTGACAACTACCCACATCGGGTGGCTCTTATCAGGCCAAGGGCTGTTTTGAAGCAGGGCTCTGCAGGTTGGCTGTGGGTTGTTGCTTGGGGTTTAGAGGCTGTAGGGTTTAAAACCTTTTTTAGGATGCCCAGTAACCTAGGAACAAGAAGGGCTCCCTTTTTGGTATTGGGTACCTTTATAAGGAACCTAGGACTACAAAAGGGCAGGAGGGTACTACTGGGCATCCTAGTTTAGGGCCAGTTTAGGGGTCGTATCTGTCTTGGAGCTACTTCTGCTTCATGCAGACTGCATCGTGGGGTTCAAACATCGAGGCTTTTGATACTACTGCTGCGGGCATAGCTCAAAAGGAACAGATGCATCGGCTGCAGAGCTGTGCGAAGGCCAAGAGCATCAGCCACTAAAAACCACTCTCTTGACACTTGAACCATCCGTGGGTTCAGCAGGAGTGCCCTTGTGGTCAGGGTGTGAGTTTACATATACCATCGGAACTTGGGAACTTAATGTCCTGAACCTCAAGGCCTTCTTGCATCAGGACTTGTGCCATCGCCTGAAGACATGGACGGAAGCTCAAGGACTAAGGCTCTAAACCCCGAACTCAATTGTTCAGGTTTTGGGGTTTCGAGGCAGGAATCGAGATTCTATGCTCAAGTCCGGTCCCAGAAGCCTGGGATTCTGGGTGACCGGGCACAAACCATCTCGTGGACTACAGCCCTACCTGATTACCAGAGCCCTTTGATTTTGATGAGGGCCGGGCCGGTGCTGTCATAGCCGCACTCTTGCATAATGCCTTGTTTCGGCGCTCACACTCGGACAATCCAGGCGAGGCATATGGTTCGGAGTCTGATATGTGAAAGTGTTTAGGGAGTTTCTCTCTCGCAGGGTTTACGCTCTCGCAACTCGGACACAGCCAAACGAGGTTCTTGGAGAAGTCGGACTACAGGCATGATACCACGAGCCGGCATTCACTACAACTCAAACAGGAAGATGAAGTCACCCTTACGCCAACTCGGAGCACAGGGTTTAGGGTTTAGGGTTACGTTTTGGCTTCAGGTTTGGGGTTCAAGCATATTGGCGTCTGGGGTTCTTGAGCGCGAGCATCCGGCTGCTTTAGGATGGTGCTTGCGCTGGTTTCGTGTCGGGGCTGCTAGGGGGTTGATGCCACCAGGGGCCCCAAAACATCGATATGGGCCTTACCGAAAATAGGGGGCACTAATGTAATCACCCAAACAGTAGGATCCTTATTATAAGGACCCCAAAATGAGGTTCCCTTTTTTGCGGAAACTCCCATATCATGATTACGGGGCACGAAACAGAAGAAACAGTCACCTGTTTAAGGCCCAAAAAACCGGCTATATAATCAGGAGCCGAAAGCCTAGCCCATCGACGTCCTACCTACAGTCTCCATTGTAGCTCCTTTTTGGGGTTACCGTTTAGGATCCTTAATATAAAATTTGTTAAACCAAAAAACAACTACAATGGAGACTATAGGTACTCCTGATCAGGGACTGAGGAACGCGACAACTGGCCAAAGGGGTTTGGGGCGGGGGTTGAGGGGTGCATGGGGAGGGCAGGAGTAAATACATGTATGTTTGCTATACTACATAAGTGCATACATATATATATATATATATATGTGTGTGTATATATATATATACTTTTTTGTATATGTACAAATACACAGTTAATCATGAACACATCGGCATATAAGCCAAGGTTTAAACTTCAAGGGAATTATATTTGGGAGGTGCGATTCATTGGCTAGGTCTGCGAAGCTGTATTTCTCAAGGTCGTTTGTTCTTTTCGACAGCGCTTGGCAGGAACTGAAATCCCATACCACATGGCACTTCCTGAACAAACAAGACTGTGGTTACAACCGCACGGTAGAAGTCAGGGTTGCAGCCACGCTACGCTCGACGTTCCTTCGCGAGGCATTCACACCTCAGCTAGCAGCGAGACATACCTGCAGGACCCAATGACCCTTAAAAAGTAGGGGCCATATACCCATATACTATGAATCCCTAGATGGTATATGAACCTTAAGCCCTTTTAGGGTTCATTTCGTCCTTCCGGGAAGGCAGCATGGCCGCAACACTTTGACGGTTTAGAGGGTCGAAGGGCCCAGATCCCTGAGGACATCTGAGGACTGAGCCCAAAATCTTAGGTGCACGACATTTGGCAGCCCAAAACCCCGTCCACTCAGGTTATAAACCCATACCCATAGGCTCCATAGTAGTTCCTTTTTGGGGATTACCTTATAGGCTTCTAAATATGAACCACAAAAAGGAACTACTATCGAGCCTCTAGGTAAGCATAATCGCCAACTTAAGTTAAACTCCGATCCCGCGCACCCCATGAGCTAACCCCCGACCCCGGAGCTACCCATGGCCCAGTACTAGGCCCAGTACTATACATTGCCACAAGCCATGACAGCCATGACAATGTGGAACACAAGGCCTCATTCAAATTCAAAAGTGATGCTGGTCCCGGTAAGGGCTCTGCTCCGAAACGGTACCTAAGACTGTCCTGCGTATGGATGGGGTCGGTTCAACGCAAGACAACCCGGGCTCAAGATGCAGAGAGCCCAAGGACCTGCGCCCCCACGGCCCAGTCTTATGCGCGCAAATTAATACCATAACGGCACGCCACAGATAAGGGTGGCTGTCAAATGAGGGTTGCTTTTTGGGTGCTCTAAATGTTAGGTGCCGTTTTATGATAAGGACCCCCAAAAAAGGACCCTATATTGACAACCACCCATGCACTCACCGACCATGCCCTGTACATCCTCAACACATCATAGGACGCTTCCCTCGAAAACACTACATGGGAGCTTCCGAAAATAGGGGTACCTTATTTTGCGGGTCCTTATAATATTTTGCGGGTCCTTATAATAAGGATCCTACTACTGAAGGTACTATTTTAGGGTCCCCTATTTTCGGAAACTCCCACATGAAGCAACAGAACAACCCAAAGGCGTAAAGCCCTGGTCTAGCCACATACTACTGGCTGTGGTGAGGTGTTGCTACCAGCAAAGCCTACGGAGCAGGCTTTACTAGAACCAGACATAAACTATTACAAGGAGTACTTATGAGTCTCCCAGAAGTCGAGCATATAAAGTCTTTCGGGGAAGATCCCCTATGCACGTCAGGATTATCCGAATGTGAACCTGCCCAAACCAAATCACCACTTGGAGGGGTGGTGTACTAGTAGCTACAACTGACTCGCTACATCATGCCAAGAATTGCAAGTAAAGACAGCTCCCGACGTATTCTATGACTGTACATACAAGCACAGTGTCAAGCATAGGCAGATAAGTGCGGAATCGCCGTCTGCATTCCCTCACCACTTGCGAATACCTGACAAACCAAATGACCCTTAAATAGTGGGGGCCCTATACCCATATACTATGAATCCCGGTTCATTTCGTCCTTAAGGTTGGGCTTACTATACCCTAAACCCTAAATCCCTAAACCCCCAAATAAGGAATACATGAACAGCTCCTAAGGAGTTGGCCGCAGCGGCGCAGAGCTCGGACAATCTCCGGAGCGCTCACCTGCCCAGACCCCCGGGAGGATCCAAAAAGTAGATCCCTTAATGGAGGTTCCTTTACGGGTTCCTTTAAGGGTCTCTTTGAGGGATCTATAGGGTTTGAGGGTGGAGGGTGGATCCCTTAATGGGGGTTCCTATAAAGTACCCTTAGTAGTATAGGGCCCCAAATTAGGGGATCTAATTTCCCGATCGGCTCCCGGCGGTCTGGGTGGGTCTGGCAGCTGCTTTGGACAAGCACCATAAAGCCGAAACCCCACGCCCCATGATATAGGGGCCTTATATTTTTTCGTAGAACAGGGTTTCGATGTATTTTGTGTGATATATTGCAATGTCGTTCTCCCGATGGCAAGAAGTGAGACAGGTGGCAACCATATTCAGGCCCCACGCTGCCCTAAACACTTCTGTGATGTAGGACTAGCTTTGGGAAGCCTATATTCCTTCTTGGAATGCTGTCTCTTGTTGCACAGGCTCCGGCTGGAGGATTTCTGCATGCTGTTTCGGTGGTTTGCGGGGTCTGACCAGAGTAAACAACTTGCATCGCACATGGCCCATATCACTGTCCAGCCTATTCTGGCCAAGTGCTTCTCGACACCAGACACCAGTCATTCTAATCACTCAGACAGTATGTAGCGAAAGCCAGAACTGTAGTACATCTCTTAGGGTTCCCTTGTTCTCCTCGAGGGTGTCCTGATTTTCCGAATATACTAGAAAGCAGATATCCAATTAGAAAGGTGCTACAATCCGGGATTTCTGCAATTTGGGAATGTAAGGCATTGCAAACCGTAAGGGCCCAAGTACCTAATAATCATGTACTCTTCCAAATACTAGCAGCCGAGACCAGGATACTCAGCACGGTGTAGCGTGTGGGGCTGAAGTACATCATCAGACAGGTCAGCTGCTAGCATATAGACTGAGCGTTGCAGAATTTCTGCAGAATTTACGACTCACAGAAACGGTCCTAAGTACCTATGCAGTAGAAAATAAAATAGGAATTACGAATCGTTCATGTTTGAGAAAGTAATCCCCAAAAATAAGTGCTCAGGATCTATTATTGAAACCTCTTGGCCTAAGCTGAGGCAGTGACGAGCCCATCTTGGTCCCGGTCGATTTCACCTCAACAAAGCAGTGCTGCCGTCAAATCCCATACATTTGCATACCGCAGGGAGCCCTGAGTGGCGCTAACATCGTTCTAGTGCAGAGTGCCATGCTGCACTTCAGATTGAAAGCTGGCGCAGAATTCAGAAACCACGGATTGCAGGACATATTAGCACCCAAAACTCTACAATGAACCCTAAACCCTCAACCCAATAAAACTGCAGGAAGCGACAAAATAACCCAAATCTTAGGTACTGCCCCCTGACAGTAAGAGTCTATACTAGGGCTACTATTAAGGTCCTAATATTATCCATATGATGAATATTATTCAACTAGTACTGAGTGGGGGCCGTACCCAACCCAAACCCCAAACCCCCAGTCAGGCGAACCAAAGAAACCCAATCTGACTCAAGCCCCCCCAAAAAAAATCCTGAATCCACCCTTAGAGAGCCATTTGAAACTAATGGAGCCCTTGACAGGCCCCAAAGTAGTTCCTTCTTGAGATTACCTTATAGGATTCTGTATAATATATGAACCCCCAAAATGGAACTACTAACTATAGGGCCTTGGGGTAGCCCTGTATTCTCCTCAACCTGATATCTCCCTGCAAAAAAGGACCCCCAAGGCAGGCACCCGAAAACAAAGCCTGAAAGGAACCCTTTGCCGAGCCGTAACGTAGGCACCCTTATAATTCGACCAGCGTTTTGGGGGGTTTTAGTTTCGCAGTATGGCACCGTAAGCCAAATCACCGAACAGTGCTTTTAAATTCCCTTTCAAGGAGCCCCTTAAAGGTACCCCTTATAGATCCCTTTAAAGGAACCCTAGGATTTATATCATCAACCCTGCAGCTCCTTAAAGGAATAGGTCTGAGACGGGCGCGGAAAGCCGCCTTTAGCGTTCGCGAAGGCACAGGCTCGTGGGCTCCACCTCTGGTCTGGCACTGTGGAGGTTGCTTAGCTGAAGACTTCCAGGAGGGTTAGGGTTCAGGGAGTTATAAAAGGCTTCGGGCCAGGGTTTGAGGATTTTGGGATTCAGATTTTGCAAGGTCAAGATTTCTTCAGTTTTTGCTTGTTGGGGTGTTGGGTTTTGAGCTGGTTTGTCGGTTTTGGGGATTTGGGATGATTTAGGTATTTCGGATTTATCGGGCTCAGGGTTTAGAGTAGGAATTTGGGGCTCAGGGCTCTGGAAACCTAGATTTTGATTAGGGGTCACGGTTTCGACGCTCACACTCGCACGCAGCAGGCAAGGCTCCACATAGTCCACAGTATCTCCACTACACTATCTGATAGCCCGCATGAGTGCTCCGATGGATTCACAGTGGCACCACGGCCAATAAGTAAAGTATAAACACGGGGTCACGGTTTAGGGTTTAGGGTTTTAGGGTTTAGGGTCTAAGTTTTTCGGGTTTAGGGTTTAGGGTCGACTACATAGGAGATAAGGTGTAGGGTCCGGGCCCCAAAGTATCAAAGTATTCAGTGGTTAGCGGTTAGCTAGGATGCCCAGTTCAGTAACCTAGGAATAAGAAGGGTACCTAAATGAGGAACCCAGGACTACGAAAAGGGAATAAGGCTACTACTGGGCATCCTAGTTAGGGTTTATGGGACACCTGCTGTCTGAGACTCAGGAACTGGTGCTTTCATCGGCTCTGTGAGAACCAGATACCATCCTTCCCCGGACACACCTGTAGAGGGTTGGTTTTGGGGATTTAGGTTTAGGGTTTTAGGGTGCAGGCTTGAGGGTCAAGGGTTTGTCCTTTGACAGAATCATGTTCATTTTCCAGGAAGCTGCACTTGGAGGGCCTGTGCTGCGTTGGGTCAAGACGATGCCCCCCGAAAACCCCTCTGTAGGTGCAGCCTGCGTGCATAAACCTTCCATCCCGCATTCCAACACAAAGGTGCTATCCATTCCTGTCCCCTGAGCCCCGCAGTGCAACGAGTTCCACGCTCAGACCAACGGAGAAGCCATCCGTGCTGCCGAAGACCGCACGGCCTTCGCAAGCACACGGTGTGCTGGACTTTGAAGTAACCAGGGAGAAAAAAGTATAGACTTGCATTTCATAATGGCTCCTTTAAGGAACAGGTGCCAAAAGAGTATTCAAGTATGGTACTCCAAACCCAGGTGTGTGTGTGTGTGTGCTGAGGTTACAAGGTATGCTCTGCCTAAAACGTAGGACCAGTGTAAGACCTGACTGTTAGAAAATTGGACGAGTTAAGGAAGAACTGCTGTGCCGCCGCACTTCCCACCAATTGACCATGGGGTTTTGGGTCTATACCATAGGGCTTCGATGCATGTAGTCGGGAAAAAAAAGAAATAGTTTAAGGTGCCCCGAAATACTAAGGAACTTGGTGCTACACTGACGGCAAGGCTCCCAGAACAAAGAGGTGTACCCCCCGCGAAAGATCGTGTCACAACGCCTTCTGAATGTTTGGGTGTGTGTGTGTGTGTGTTCTGCTGTATTTGAGCAGCCGCAGATGCATATCAGAAGTTTAGCGTAGAGTCTGCACAGGGGGTTTAGCTGCATGGTCGACGTCCTATGCCCTCACACCCTCAGACTTCATATGTTGGGACCACGAGCCTCGATCTCTTGTCATCTGCAGGCTTCAGCAGACCTACCTAGTTGCCGAAGTAGACTACCATCTCAAAAGCTCAAACTCCCGGAAGCCTGAACCTTCACCGTCCTACTCGGATCCAGCACTCGCGAGACACTTGCTGAGTTGCTTGCGAACGTTGTGGGGACCTCGCCAGCCGTTCGGTCCCGAAGCCTGCAGTAAAGGAAATGTTAACGCTACACTTGGGAGTTTCCAAGAATAGGGGACCCTGATATAGTACCCGAAATACTTATTGTAAGGACCCCAAAATGAGGTACCCCCCCCCCCCCCCAATTTTCGGAAACTCCCACTTGTCGGTGCTTATATACAAGGTTGCATCAGGGCTTAAGGCTCCGGGTCTCCCGGTTAGGGCTTTGGGTTTAGGGTTTACCTATAGTCTCCATTGTAGTTCCTTTTTTTGGTTTAGCCCATCTTATATTAAGGATCCTAAAAGGTAATCCCAAAAAGGAACTACAATGGAGACTATACTACTATTTGCTTAAGAACCCCCAAAAAATAAAAAATATATTCCTTAATATAGGGATTATTATTTTTATTTTTTGGGGGGTTTCTTAAGCAAATAGTAGTATAGGTAGGGTTTAGGGGCTTTGGGGTGCAGGATGACTTCGGGCTTGCTATCAGGAAAGCTGCAACTGGAGTCAGGAGGTTCGCGTGATCTGTCCGAGTCCGCGTACTCTAAGGCGACTACAGCATATTGAAATTTCAAGAATTATAACTGTAGTATAATAGGCCCCAAAACCCTATTCTAATTTTTCATTCCCATATAGTATAGTATTCAAGTTCATCTTACAGGAGCTTAGAGGCTTAAAGGTATACACCTGACAGTTGGTGAACCCAAAAGACACTGAACAAACAAATCAGAGCACCCTAAGCTTAAGGCCTTCGGTGGGCTACACGTCACCACATTAGTCGGCGAAACTGATCGTGGCCCTCCATGCAGGGTAGACCCAAAGCGAAACCTGTTTCATTTCTTTTGGAAGGGGGGTGTGGACCGCGGGGGAGGAATCAGGGATCATATCATCGACAGTCAATCTTGAAACCGTAGATGCTATGCTTTAACCCGAAACCTTCCTGAACCTGTTTTGTCCGCTTAAGCCCTGCAATCCTCTTGGCCAATCTGGCACTCGATGGCGCTTTCAGAATGGGAGGCATGCTTTTGAAGGGCCCAGCAACTCACCTGAGGACGGTATACTGTGGTTATGATAAGGGAATCCCAAAATACTGCATGCAGGTACTTCTTAAGGCCTCTGTGAGGACGGAACACAGAAACAAGCAATGCCTCATCTGGTGCGAAACGCCGTTTCAATATCCTGGGATGTAATTCCATGACACACAAAGCTCATTGGCAAGGACGATCCCGTACCCGCAAGTGCCAGCAGGAACAGGATTGAACAAAAATGACTGGCCTCCACGTCTACAATCCGAGCACATGCAAACGACGTCAAGCTTGCAAACATAAATCGGAACACGGTACCCGGTACTGGCTCCAAGCCTTCTCACCTAGCAAGACCCAAAACTACTAAGCACCAAAACCTGAAACACACAACACTTTTGTAGACAAGCTAAAGGAGCAGCTGTGGGGGAACATTTGGCTGCTCACGGGAGGCTTTCGGCCGTTCAGCATTTATGAACCTGCACCCCCTGAATCCACACTACTGGTCGGCTATAATGGAGGGCGGTTGGGGCGGGTAAGGAGGATGCCGCAGGTGCCGAAGCCTCAAGATCCCCAAATCCATGCTTACACCCCTGATTCCCCTGCACCCAAAACTTCTAGACTCTGTAATCCTGGGCATCGAAATAGCCCAAAAGCCTCATATGGTATGGTCTTTGGGTCCAAAAGCCTTAATACATCAGGCCTTAGATGCCTAGGGAAGGCTGAAAAGACGAGCTGGGCTCCAGGAAGCTGCCTCTGAATTATCTTTGTCCAAGGGCACATGGTTTCGACTCAACAACTCGGACAAAAGGGCCATGGTTTCTTGGGCAAGGGTTCAGGCAGTTGGGGTTTATAGGTTAGGTACGGCCCCCATATAGTAAGAGTCTATAATAGGGCTACTATTAAGGTCCTACTATATCTATATTAAGAATATGTATTCAACTATTACTGAGTGGGGGCCGTACCTAATTTATAGGGCTTAGGGTTTTTTCGGGCAGGGTTGTAATGGGGCCTATAGGGTTCTGGGTCCACTGGGTGGCAACAGGGTGTCAAAGCTTACCGTAATCTACCAAACCCCACCTTTTTCTCAGGTTCTTATGATAAACCTTAATATGGAATTTATAGGGACCCTACAAAAAGTCGATTTTGGTAGGTCCTCCGTTGTGCAGATTGTCAACCTCCCCACCGCCTAAGTCTCAAGCCTTTGAGCCCCGATGCGCTGAAAGCTAAAGCAAAACAGCTCTTATCCCTGAATCAAAACAGGGCTTCTTAAAGGATTATGGGACTTAGTAACTGGAGTTATAGATAAGGTAACTGTACTTATAAGCACTTATAAGCCCACTTAAGGCACTTATAACCTGACTTGCTAAGTCCCATGATCCTCCAAGTATCCCCGGATCAAAAACAGGGCTTGTGCTCCTAAAGTGAGTAAGCATGCTAACGTGTCGGAGAAGTGCCTCTCGTCAATGAATGTTCGGGCCTTTCGGGTGTTTAGGTTCAGCGCGAACTAGTTCATCTCAGTTCATGTAGACCCCTGATGAATACACTCCCTTACTTTAAGGGAGGCCTGAACATTAGGATCCCTTTTGTAGTCCCTTTCAGGTAGAAGAGTATTTCATCAGTAAAATTTATCGGGCTGTGAGGCTAGGAGGGCCGAAACTTCATTGGCCCTTGGACACTTGAAATCATAGCTGCCGGTGCATCTGTCCCTGTATGTTGCCAGAGCGAGGTTCCGGAACGGCTCTTGCTGTCCTACAGCCATCCAGAGATTGCGATCACAAACTTAAAGGCAGTTAAACCCTATAATTAGGACTTGGCTTTAGCTAGTTAGTCAAACTTTGTCGGATTTGGGCATTGCCACCTGTCAAGCACATGAGCTTGCCCTTGCAAACTACGCTGGTATGTATGCCGTTGTGCACACATAGAGAACTAAGCGAAGAACCGTCCCAAGCGCAATCTGCACTGTACAGGCACCATGACAATGGCCACCAATGGCAAGGATGGCACCGACTGTGGCAAAGACGGGAGACACCATCTGAGCCTTATGCCCAAAAGGCCACGACAGCGCATGCCAAAACACCCTCCTAAACCCCGAAAACTCGATTTCTACAGCCTCACCCCCGTCAGGCCCTGGACCCCCAAAGCCCTTAAGCCTTGTGGAAACCCTGAAACTGAAAAAGTCTACAGACTCACTTGTCATGAATACCAAAACATGATCCCGCCCTGGCCATGTTCAAGCTATGCTCGGGGGAGGGCCCCGTGAACGTGAGGATCTAACGAAGGTGATATTGAATTGGAATCCCCGCAGGTTAGGGTTTAGGGTTTTGCGGTGTTTGAAAAACTCTAGACCCTTATGGAGCCCTTTGAAGGGACCCTTATAGTAACCTTATAGTAACCCTTTAAAGGAACCCTAAGGGATCTAAAAAGCGTAGTGGCTTCGAAGCTGAAAAACCAAGCGGCGCAAAACAAAACGGCTTCAGGCATTCCGCAGAACTTGAGCACCAGCACCAATCGGAAAAGTCCTCTCAAAGCCTCATCACTGGTCTCGCAACCGAAAACGAAACCAACATGGACCCTTCAAAGCCCCAGTGCAAGCTTAAGATAAGACCCATAAGGTCGCTTAAGGGTTCCTTCAAGGGTTACTATAAGGGCTGCTTTAAGGGTTGCTAGAGGGGTTCCTTTAAAGGTTACTCTAAGGGTTCCTTTAAGGGAACCTTACTCGAAATCCTCAGCGGGCAAGCGCCTGCCGGGAATCCCGCGTTGGGGATGCGCGAAAGAGATGCTTCCCAGGCTCCGAAGAGATGTTGCCCCGAGGACGGAGCCAAGGAATTATTTACTTCGGGTTTGTTGCCTCTCAGTGCAGACTGCATGGCTTGGGTCTCCATTTTGGACACTGCGTCAACGTCCTGAAACCCTGAAACTAAACTTCTCTTGGGAGCCGTTCTACTCGAGGGTGGGTGGCTCCTGAGCCGCGGCAGAAAAAGCCCGACCTGAGCATATCAGGAATCTTAAGTTCATGGCAGTGGCTGTTGCGCGGCCCTCAATCTTACTACGTACTTCCAGGTTCCAATACTTAGATAGTACCCAAAGGCCCCAAAGAAGTTCCTTTTTGGGGTTCGTATAAAGAATCCTAGAAGGTAATCCCAAAAAGGAACTACTTTGGGGCCTATGGGTATAGCCTCAGGGCTTACGGGTTGCTATGTAGGTAGTTTGGAGCTTAGGGCCCAACCATTATCCTCAAGGTTTGCTGCTGTGCTGCAGCCCGATACCCCACAGACAGAGTTCTGAAAGACTGTATGTAAGAACAGCTGCAAGAGTTGCCAGAGTATTGCCGTGTCTAAGGTTTCAAGGTTTCAGGGTTTGTACACATGGGGCTTACCCAGAGGCTCCATAGTAGTTCCTTTTTGAGGTTCATATATAGAATCCTATAAGGTAACCCCAAAAAGGAATTACTATGGAGCCTTTGGGTAGCTTCGGGTTGGCTTTGCGGGGTTAGAGTTCCCGGCTTTTTACCCTCCTTCGCGAGGGGTTTGGGGGGGCTTCGGGCTTTCTCAGGAATCAGGAGCGTACAATCTTGATAAGCCCCTAAATCCCGAAACCCCAAGCCCAGAAACCACAACCAAAGGCCCGACTCTCGGAACCCTCAACCTAGACAGGTTCCGGGCTAGGTTTCAGGGTTAGGGTCTTAAGCTTTTGGATTAGATGATTTTTAGGGCTTTTACGGCTTAGGGTTTTCGGTCCGCACAGCTCTGACAGAGCATATGAGGCTTGAGCGATAGGCTTCGGGAGAAGTCGGTTTCATTGATGCCGACGTCTCGGGTCTAAGGTGCTTGTGGACGATGTGTGTGTGTGTGTGTGTGTGTGTGTGTGTGTGTGTGTGTGTGTGTGTCTGTGTCTGTGTCTGTGTCTGTGTCTGTGTGCGTGTGTGTTTGTGTGCGCTTGTTTGTTTGTAGCTTTGTACTGGGTCATGCACTGGTTACATTTAAAGATAGGCTCACGG